TAAAGGAATGGTAAGGGCTTGGGATGTGGTTCAGTGGAGGAGTAATGAAGATTTCTAGGATATAATTCTCCAGATTAAAGGCAATTAAAGACATGAAAGTCAAATACAGTATAGGATCTTACACTGAACATGGAACTGAAAGATTAGGAAGATTGACCAAACTGAAATATGATCTTCTTTAAGACTTTTAAATATGTTAATTATAAAAGAGGGAGCATAAATATTCATTTGCTTATATTATAAAAGGGAAGATAAAAATTTTAAAAGGGAGAGGATATAGTATAGAAGAAACAGGAATGGAAGTTAACTTCTCTGTAAGCTCTGAAGTTGGATCCAAGTAATAAAAAAGCAGTATTAAATCAAATGAATACAAGGCAGTCCTTAAAAATAAAAAAAGACAAATGACCCTAATTATACCAAATTGGTAGCTACACAGAAATAAATTATTTCATGGGGCTAGGGTTGAGGCTCAGTGGTAGAGTGCTCATCCAGTGCATGTGTGAGGCACTGGATTTGATCTTCAGCACCACAAAAAAAAATAAATAAAAATAAATAAGATATAGTTATTGTGTCCACCCACAATTAAAAAAAATTTCAAAAAAATTATTTCACCTGATTTGAAAGCAGTAATTTGTGGGAGTGAGTATTCCTGAGAACAAAAGGAATTGCAAAGAAAATTTAACTTTCAGTAATCAGATTGTAATGATTGTTGATACTAATAATGGTATTATTTTGAAAATATTATATGTATTCTAAGATAAAGCAAGCAATTAGTTGGCCAAAGATATTTGAAACCAAGAAACGCAATCCCAGTGATGATATAAATATGAAACCAAAGAAATTAGGTTAAAAAAAATCTGCAAATTTGAATTTCAGTTGGAAAAGTATAAATTAATGTATTTTCTCTAAAAATACACTTATCCTAGTCCATTCCATTAAAAGTAATCTTAAAAACAACAACCAGTCCAGGAGTAATAGATTTACCTAGTACTGAGGTTCCTATTATTTTCCCATTTAAACAGAAGGAGAGCGTTTTGATGAAATTTCTGAGTTACAGCCTGAGGCAAGAAATATGCAAGGTGAGCCTGGGACATCTTGTCATGCCAAAAAGCAAGTAAGCTATCAAAGATTACTGAAGTCTTGTCAAAAGGACTCTGGAGCTAATCAAGGATTTCCTATTGGCTAAAAGTGGGACAGTATGGAAATCAAGAAGGATGCTAAAGTGTATTAAAATTTATGAAATAAGTTCAAATCCATGAGGTTTTAATGAAACTTTAAAAATTATTGATGTGCTTTGAAGAATGCTAGTGGTTTGTATACTCTTTTGAAAATTGGTAAATAAGAAAAAGAAATGAAAATGCCTTTCATTTATGAACTGTGCCTCAAGGATAACTAATATGAAGAGAGAAAGTTTCTTTGTATTGCCCCTAAAGAAGAAATTATATTGGATAAATGAAGAATGATAAAATGCCACCATTTTGCTCCCTCTAATTAAATAATGGACAAAACCACACAATCACTAATGATTGCTAAACTTGTTAGGTATAAACTAATTGAAGAAATCTATAATGGAGAATTAGGCTAGGATGAAATCTTTCATGAAAGGCCTTATAGGTGTCTGACTTTTGTTATAGAAAGACTGGAGACTTAAAATTATGCTATGATTAGATTAAATTTGGAGCACTTGTAGTACTAGGCTGAAAGAGTTATTAGGGAAAGGCTATTCATATATTTTAGCTTATACTTTTATGTCTGAATATAGAGATTTTTTCCCATTTTCTGCTGCACACACACACACATTTTTAATTTTTTGAATGTATAAACAAGGTATATAAAATTTGCACAATTTCAAAACTGAAGAATATTTGGCAATCCGTATTGCCTCTACTCTTTCAGCCATTTTTAAATTAGTTGCTGGTTTATGCTGCTATTCTTGCTTTTTTCAAAATAATAAGCAAGTGTATATAAATATTTCCATCTTTCTTGTATAGAGGAAGCATACCATATCGTTTTGTATCTTGCTTTTTTAAAAAATTATATTCTAGAAATCACTCTGTAGCAGTAAATAAGATATTCTACATTCTGCATATTCCTTTTTTAATTGACACATTAGATCTGTACATATTTATGAAGTACCATGTGATATGTGTGTGTGTGTGTATATATATATGTGTGTGTGTGTGTGTGTGTGTATATATATATATATATATATATATAAAATGTTCAAGTCAGGTTAAGCATGTTTATCTCATTTCTGTTTTGGGAAAACATTCCAAATATTTTCTTTTAGCTTGGATTTTTGAAATAAATGACATTGTCTTTGGGAAAACATTCCAAATCTTCTACCTTGGTTTTTTGAAATAAATGACATTGTCATCAACTGTAGTTTGTACTGTAGTTTATACCTGTGCAATAGAACACCAGAACTTATTTCTCTTAAGTATAATTTAGTACCCATTGGTATTCCTCCCACAGCATCTTTGCTTTTTTTTTGGTACCGGGAATCAAACTTTTACCACTGAAGTACATCATTCTCTGTCCTTTTTGTTTGAGACACAGTCTCAGTAAGTTGCAGAGGCTGGCCTTGAACTTGTGATTCTTTCTCCCTCATCTTCTTGAGTTGCTAGGGTTACAGGTAGTCATCACTGTGCTCAGCCACCTATTCTTCATCTTACTAGAGAACAATGTAACAAAATAAATACTTCTAATTCCAAAGGTAAACACATTCTAATAGTAAACCTAGGGTCATACTGTTGGTTTTATTTCCAAACAGAATTACTCCCTAAATATGTGAAAGGAAAAATTCCTATATTCACTTAAGAATTTTGATTTGTTAACAAGCAGTGTTGTGTGTGTGGGTGTGTGAACACTTGTGAATGGAACCCAGGGCCCTGCAAATGCTAATTAGCACTCTATCATTGAGCTATACTCCCTGAATCCCTAAGGAGCAGTTTTGACTAGCAGTGCATCTGGAAGATTTATTTTAAAATGTAGGCCTATAATAGAGCCCTCCCCCAGATTTATTCACTCATTATCTACTTTATTTTTTTGTGTGTGTGTGTTACTTGGATGAAACCCACAGGTTCTCTACCATTGAGCTCCATCCCCAACCTTTTTTGTTTTTCAAGTCAGGATCTCACCAAGTAGCCTAGGTGGGCCTTGGATTTGTGATCCTCCTGCCTCAGCCTCTCAGTAGCTGTGATTACAGGCTTGTGCCATGGTGCTTGGGTTCATCCATCTACTTTCAGAGTATTTGTTGAGCACCCAGCTGTACAAGGTTCTGTGTTAAGTACTCTGGAAAAAATATAGTGAAAAAAGTTATAAGCTATTAAAATGAGGACTCTTGCTTAACTCTTCTCACTTGAAGACTAAGTTTAATAACACTTCATTCTGAATGCTTCTTGATTACTGTACCAGTTTAGTTATGTCTGGATCAGTTGTCTTAAACATAGCACAAAAAGATATTTGTCAGTTTACATGAATGTCTCAAGGTTAGTTGTTTAATGGTAAGGACTTTGTCTCATTTTACTCTACTTCGTGTCTTATTGAGTCAGTGAAAATTTTTCTTAGCTAGTGTGTTAAATAGAGAAATAAAATCATTGCTAAAAAACTGTTTGGATTTGTTTGTGGTACTGGGATTGAAGCAATCCCTATCACTGAGCTAAATCCCCATTTTTATTTTTTATTTTGAGGCAGGGTCTCACTAAGTGAGATTGGCCTTGGATTTGCCATCCTCCTGCCTCAGCCTCTTGAGTAGCTGAGGTTACAGGTGTGCACTACTGCACTTAACTTTTTTCTTTTTTTGAGTTTAAAGGCACTGTGCTATTTTGGGGCCTCAGAACCATGTGATGAAAGGGTAGAAACTGGCAAAATGATCTTGATAGCATAAACCTTTCAGAGACAAGTTTTCACGGAAGAAAAACCTTTTACTAGATGTTAAGAGCATGATACACTTGCTCTTATTTTAGACATTTTAACTTATATCTGACTTGTGGAATCAAAATCCTTTCTGCACATGTTTATTATGCAAAAAATAAGTCCTTGTTCTGAAAAAAGGATTAGAGTAACTTTATTTTGTAGTCTGTTTTCTTAGGCCAGTTCTGCCATCTGGTGGTACTATTGAAAATTACAGAAGGTAGTAAAACTTTTGTTGTATATACCTGCACAAGCTGTTACTTATGGGTTTTTTGAAGCTAGATGAAATTCTGTCAAAAGCTGAGTCTACCATATTTACAGAGATTTAATACCCAGGTTTCCAACTATTCATATGTAAATACCACATGCAAAAACGGCCATGAAAATAAAAACAGTTTTACTCAACTGTTTAGTTCAGGTGATTTCTCTCCTACTTTAGATCAATAATTAAAAATGGGAAGAAAGATAGTTTCTCAATCAGATGATAATTGCTTTCTCATGGTTGTGTGTGGATGTTAGAAAATGTTACGAGAATTTGTTATTACCTCAGATTTATTTTTGTAGAACCATGAGAAATTTAAATGATTTTCTTAGAAGTATTATTGATATTTTAATGTAAATTACATTTTATAGTAGCTTAATTATAGTAAATTGCCATCTCCTGGAATGATAGAATAAAGAAATAGTCTTGAAAACAAATGAGAGCTACAAATAAATTTTTTTCACCTGATATAAAGATTTTCAACATATTAAATCTTTCGTTCATACAATTTCTTTTTTGTAATTGCTAAAGCTGGCCTCTTAAACTTGTATGTACCATACCTCAAATTTATTTTCTTTCCAAGTGTCTGACCTTGGAGCCTATAATTGGGGTTTTGTTTATTAACTTCAAGGGAGAATATCTTATTGCATATGTTTTAAAATCTGTCAGATATGTTACTATAAATTAAATAACATTGATTCTCTTTTCTATTTGGGTATAGAAAGTTGATATATTGAAATAATGGTTAATGATCTGGAACTTCCTTCTGACTATTAAATTCCTAATGAATATTGTTTGAAATATGTGTGTTTTCTAATTGTAGCCAGTCGGATGATGATTCTGGTTCAGCTTCAGGCTCTGGATCAGGTTCGAGTTCTGGAAGCAGCAGTGATGGAAGCAGTAGCCAGTCAGGTAGCAGTGACTCTGACTCTGCATCTGAATCAGGCAGTCAGTCAGAGTCTGAGTCAGACACATCACGAGAAAACAAAGTTCAAGCAAAACCACCGAAAGTTGATGGAACTGAGGTAATAAATAAAATATCCAATGAAAATTAGATTTTTGGCATTACTTTGGGAAAATTTATAGGGTTACAAAACAAATTTAAAACAAAGTTTACTTTTAGTAATTCTATAAGTTGTGGCTATACATCAGTGTGAACTATTAGCTTAAGTGAAACAGTCTATAAAATGGCACATATAACAAATGTATATGCAGATAAAGCCTTTTCTACCTCTTTCTGAGGCAAAAGTTGAATTTCATAAACAATAGTTTCATGGGTAAAAATTAAAGACTTCATGCGGTCTACTTGTTAAGCTTACAGTGATATCTCCTTTTAAGACTTTCAAAGGAGATACTTTATTACTAATAGGAGGAAGATTTAATATTTGCTTCTTCAAAGATAATTGGTAGAATAGGATAGGGTTTTTTTCTGCTTGAGACAAAGTACTACAGCATAAACTAAAACCTGACCATACTTCCTGATAGTATATGCTATGTTACTTATCGTATTGGTCTTTAATGAGATTAGGTGCTTGGGCCGAGAGTATAAATCAACCTACAACTGCTTTCATAGAGAAAAATCTTGCTTTAAAAGAAGAAAGGTCAGCTGAGCTTATTGTGTTTACAGTGACATAGTTGATTTGTATTCTGACTCAGCTCTTCATCTTTACTCACACTGATAAAATAGGTAACTATACTGAGTAGCACCAGTATAGCATATTTTCAATTTGTTTGTGAAAATAATGCTCTTAAAAGAGGAGGATGATTATTGTCATCTATGAAACTTGACACTCCATTAATTTTCTTATATATAGTGAAGTCTGGCATTTTATTTTAATTATTTTGCAGTGATATTGTATTTGTAACATGAAAGAGGAAAATAGTCAATTTATTATTTGGGCAGAGAAAATGTTAGAATTGTCAGTAAATTGTTTTTCTGTTTTTGCCACATTTCATCTTTTTCCTGGTACATGTTTCTGTTACAGTTCTGGAAATCTAGCCCCAGTATTCTTGCTGTTCAGAGATCTGCAATGCTTAAGAAGCAGCAGCAACAGCAACAGCAGCAACAGCAACAGCAACATCCAGCTTCATCTAATAGTGGATCAGAAGAGGTGAATTTTCATAATGAGTTATTATTTTAAAAGTAGATCATATGTTTGACCATTTAATATTAATGAAATTATTAAAAGCAATTTCTTTGAAAGGATAAATAGAAAATACCTGCATTTAAATATACCTGTAAAAAAAATCTTGAAATATAGACATAATGTTATACAGTATTTCCACTTTAGAGATTAATTCAGAATAATGTGAAATTTGTGTGTTTGCTCATCATAGCAAAACTAGAAATTTGGGCTGGGGTTATAGCTCAGTGGTAGTAGAGCACTTGCCTAGCATGTATAAGGCACTGGGTTCAATTCTCAGCACTGTGTGTATGTGTGTGTGTGTGTGTGTGTGTGTATATATATATATATATATATATATATAAACAACAACAACTAGAAATAAATGTAAATGTGAAATTTGAAGGAAAGAATTAAATAAGACATATACATCTGTACACACCAGTGGATGAATATTATAGTAGTAGATTTTATAGAATGTTGACATGTTTTTTTAAAAGTGTTTTTATTTCTAACTAAAACAGTTGTACATATTTATGGGGATAGGGTTTGATATTTTGTTGCATGTATACAATGTGTAAGATCAGATGAAGGTGCTTGGCATACCTATCACTTCAGATATCATAATTTGTTTGCATTGAAAATACTCAGTCCTCTCTACAATTTTGAAATATTCAATTAATTATTGTCAGTTAATAGTTATCTTACTGTGCTATGTAACATTAGAGTGTTTCCTCCTATTCAGCTGCCTCCACTACTGTACCCATTAATGAGCCTGTCTCCATCCCTCCTTCCCCCATACCTTTCCCAGGCTCTAGAAACTATTATTCTTTTAGTTTCCACTTATGAGTGAGAATTTATGATATTTGTCTTTTTGTGCTTCATTTATTTCAGTAAACATGTCCTTCAGTTCCATCCGTCTTGTTGCAAATGATAAAATTGTTTTTTGTAGCTGAATAATATTCCCTTAGTGTATATAAGCCAACATAGATTGGTTTCATATTGTGGCTAGTGAAAAACTAAATTATTCTCATAATAGTTTTTAAAGACTAGACTGCAGTTGTAAATAATGTAGATTCTGTGTTTGTGTATAAGTATACATAAATGTGTGTTTGGATAGAAACATTCAGATAGAACTGTGTCAAAAATTATCTACTGTTGAAGAATAATGTTATTTCAAAATTTGGAATACCAAATTCCTTGTTGTGGCTATACTACACAGCAATAATGATCACCTGAGATGGTAGATTTTAAGGTTTTATACAAAGTGCTGACATTATGATATTTATCTGATTTTGTTATCTCAATTCCCAATAAAATGTTATTAATTACTTTAAGCCAGCTATTGTAAATATAAGAACATAGAACAAAAAGAAAAGAACTTAAGCATACTCTTACTAGCAAAGTGAATATTATATAGCATAGCTGGCTTTGTTAAATTTTAAACATTTATGAATGACATTTTAAAAATTTTTCTTTGCAGGATTCCTCTAGCAGTGAAGATTCTGATGATTCATCAAGTGAGGTCAAGAGGAAAAAGCATAAAGAGTATGTCATTTTGTTCAGCTGACTACTTTTGCATCAGGAAAATACTAATAACTTTGTATTTCTTTATGAAAGTTGTTGCCAAAAATAGACTTTTAGAACTTCTTTGTTCATGGCATTTATGATTTAAACCATTAACCCATAACATTTATCTTTCTTAGATTTTTGTGCCACTTCTTTATCTCTTATAATTCTTACCCCTAAATATTTGTAAATTTTAAAGATCTACTTAGCCTTAATGTCAAAAAATCTTAATAACTTGGGAAATTTAGGAGTATAGGGATCATAGGGTGATTGATGATTGTTAATTTATGTTAATAATTATCCTTACTATTTATCTGCACATGAAATTTACTTCACTGACATGAAAGAAATCAATTAGAAACTTACTGTATTTGCATAAAACCATGACTCATTAAGTACCTCAGATTCTGAGTTTATATACATTTGAAATGATTTTTTTTTCCTCATTCTTTAGAAGCATTGTTCTGTTGTTTGATCTCTAAATGTTCTATTGGTCTTTGATATTTGGAATATTCACTTTGTTATATCTGTGTTTGGATATGTTGTTTTTCCCACAGGATTCATATATCTTTAATATAAGAATTCATATTTTTTATTACTTTTTGAAAATTCATTCATTGTATCTTTGAATGTTTTCTTTTTGTTTTTAACTCTTAGCTACTCCAAATCTGTGGTCTTCTACTTTTCAGGTTGTTTTTCCTTTTCTTGCAGGGCTAGCAGTCTAACCCAAGGTTTTATACATGCTAGTTAAGCACTCTACCACTGAGCTAGCCCTGTATTCTAGTTTCTAAAGCAAAATAAGTGCAATTTCAAATATTTTGTCTCTTCAACTATTTAAATCTTTCACTGAGTTATTAATTTTTAAACCTAAAATGACTATTTATTTATTTATTTATTTATTTTTATGTGGTGCTGAGGATCAAACCCAGGGTCTCACACATGTAAGGCAAGTGCTCTACCACTGAGCTACAAACCCAGCCCTAAGTATACATTTCTTAAAATGAATGGTTTTGATAAATTTACTTTAATATAAATAATTTACAAAACATATAATAGATTTTTTCATATGGCCTGCATATTGCTACATTCAGTGTCCAAACCCTAAAAAGATCTCAAGATAACAATTTGCTTTTGTTATTTACTTTCATAATCAGATTTTATCTGTGTTTTTATAATCTTTAGCATACTCCTGATTAATGCAAGAGACACAGAGCAATGGAGCAAAAGCTATAGCCAATGCAAGATATAATATAGGTTGATTATACCTATTTGAAGTGCTTGAGTCCAAAAGTGTTTCACGTTTTTGCTTTTTCACACTTTGGGATATTTACAGACTTTACCAGTTGACCATCCTTAACCTTAAAATTAAAAATCTGAAATATTTCCAAATCTGAAACATCCCAAATATGATGATGGTAAAAAATTTCAGATTTTTTATTTGAATTGGGGATATTCAACCTGTACATGTAAGAATTTAATATACGTGTGTTTTATTTCAACTTTATCTAATAACACTGACATGTGCATCCAATATTTTATTCTCTACATGTGAATTGGAAAGAAATAGATTAAATGACTAAAAATAGTAATAGATAATTGTTGAATATTGATTGAGATGATACTATTGGTAATTTTTTTATTTTTTTAAACACTTTTTTTCTAAATAAGCTTTTCTTAATGAAAATATACCATTAGTAAATTCAGTTTATTAAGACATTTTACAAATCACAGTCTGCAGAAAATTAAAACGAAAGAAATTGGGTTTGTTTTTTGAGAGGGCAAATGGAATAATTTTACAAGATTTTCAAAACTAAACCTGTGGCTCTTTTGAGTTAGCATAGTACATTTTCATCTATAATGAGAATCAGATACCATTTTTATGTACAGTTCATTTGAGGTATCTAAATAATTAATAAAAATCTGAAGAGAGAAATCTGTGAAGAATATTTTCCAGTGTTATTTTACAGACATTTAATATTTTCTAGCATAGGTAAAAGGAATAATATTTTTTATGTTAACTGGAAGAGTAGTCGCTCATCTTTGTATTTTATCATACATAACTTATGTATGTTTAAGTAAAAATACTTTATAAATTTTATATACAGTGAAGATTGGCAGATGTCTGGGTCAGGATCTCCATCTCAGTCTGGTTCAGATTCAGAATCTGAAGAGAGAGATAAAAGCAGTTGTGATGAAACAGAATCGGATTATGAACCCCAAAACAAAGTCAAAAGCAGAAAACCTCAGAATCGGTAAGTGCATTATGTTATTGGTTTGAAAAATTATTAGTTACAGAAGGTATTCATCCTTTTTCTATAGTTCCTCAAAACTTGCTTTAAAATGTCTTTTTTTTTTTAAAAAAAAAACCTCCTGCTCTTCCTCAGCTCTAAGTCAAAAAATGGAAAAAAGATTATTGGACAGAAAAAGAGGCAGATTGATTCATCTGATGATGATGATGATGAAGATTATGATAATGATAAAAGAAGTTCTCGTCGCCAAGCAACTGTCAATGTTAGCTATAAGGAAGATGAAGAAATGAAAACAGATTCTGATGATCTACTGGAAGTGTGTGGAGAGGATGTTCCTCAACCTGAGGAAGAAGAATTTGAAACAATAGAAAAGTTTATGGATTGTCGGATTGGGAGAAAAGGAGGTATTTTTCAAAAAAGCATTTTATTGTTTGTTATTTAAAGTACTTCTTAATTTTTTTAAAATTTGAAAGCCAAGATGGTGGATTTTTCTTTTGTTTTAATTACTTGCTATAAAACTATTTTTAGATCTTTTCAGAAACTATTCACTTGACCTCATGTCATATGATATGGATATTTGGAAAATTTCAAACTTATGCATTTAAATTTTTCTCTTATACCTAAATAATCAGTTGCTATTTAAGTATTTTCAGTTATACAAAGTGTTTGGATTTTGAAATATTTTTTATACATCTTAAATAGTAGGTTATTTTTAGTTACCTAGAGATGTAGTTTTAAAATATAACATTAAAATAATTAAAAATTATCTGAATGTGGTGGTGCATGCCTGTAATCCAGTGACTTGGGAGACTGAAGCAGGAGGATTGCAAATTTGAGATCAGCCTGGGGAAGTTATCTCAAAATTAAAAACAAACTAACAAGAAAAACAGCCTCTTAATTGTTAATATTGTAAATTGGCATGTAATCTTGGATGCTCCACTGTGTTTTGGCCTTGTTTATTTTTTGAATTTTAAAAATGAGGGTATTGGGGCTAGGGATGTGGCTCAAGAGGTAGCACACTAGCCTGGCACGCGTGCGGCCCGGATTGGATCCTGAGCACCACATACAAAGATGTTGTGTCCGCCAAAAACTAAAAAAATAAATAAATAAATTCTCTCTCTCTCTAAAAAAAAAAAAAGTGAGGGTATTAAATTTAAATAATTTTTATTTCTAAAATTCTGAATTGCTTTTAGGTATAATATAACTTGACATAAATTTCTGTACTGATTATTCACTTATATAAGAGGTTTGTTTTGTATTAATATTCTTGAAATTTAGAGTCGAAAGGAAATAATCCTAATCCTATAACAGTTATGTTGAAGGGCTTGTACTTTTGTTTTTAGCTACTGGTGCTACTACCACCATCTATGCAGTTGAAGCAGATGGTGACCCAAATGCAGGATTTGAAAAAAATAAGGAGCCAGGAGAAATCCAGTATTTAATTAAATGGAAAGGATGGTCACATATCCACAACACCTGGGAGACAGAAGAAACCCTTAAGCAGCAGAATGTTAGAGGAATGAAAAAATTGGATAATTATAAGAAAAAAGATCAAGAAACAAAAAGATGGTAAGCATGCTGTGTAAACCGCCCCCCACCCCACACACATATTTATAATTCAAAGATTCCACTAAGCTTTTTGGTAATAAAAATATATATATTCAAGAACTAAAATAACTACCTGATCTATAGTATGCCATTTCAAGAGAAAGCTCTTAGGGTAGCCATATCCAAATTTTTCCTTGATAACAAGTGTGTGTGTATATCTAATCTATCTCTCTCTCTCTCTATATATATATATGTGTGTGTGTGTGTGTAAAAACATATATAATTCATTAAAAATTACAAATTTGTAAAGTTAAAAATTAATGATGCTCCATTTGTTTCAATTTCTTCATTGTACAAGCTTGGCTTATGTTGATGAAGTGGTAAAATGGGAGCTTGTGTGCTTAACTGATAAGTGTTTAGTAGGATAAGTGATTTAGAGGAGATTTTGAAGTCTATTCTTGGATTAAAATTTTTCAGGTTGAAAAATGCTTCACCAGAAGATGTGGAATATTATAATTGCCAACAAGAGCTTACAGATGATCTACATAAGCAGTATCAAATAGTGGAACGTATAATTGGTTAGTAATAAATGATTCTGATAAAACTTTTATTGTATGTATACTTGAAAAATTTTAAAATGTCGTAAGTTTGATGTTTACATGTCAAATATAGTATTAATTGTATATTTGAAAAATGATAGTATTAATAAAGCAGATGACTAATTTTTACTTGTGTAGCCTTTGCTGAGAATTTGTTTCTAAAAGTTAAATGTCAAAAGATAAAATAAATACTAATTTATCTCACAGCTCATTCCAATCAAAAGTCAGCAGCTGGTTATCCTGATTATTATTGCAAATGGCAGGGGCTTCCATACTCAGAGTGCAGCTGGGAAGATGGAGCTCTCATTTCTAAAAAGTTTCAAGCATGCATTGACGAGTATTTTAGTAGGAACCAATCAAAAACCACTCCCTTTAAAGATTGCAAAGTGAGTATTATTTGACATTTTTAATCAATGAAGATATTTTTATGCATCACAAATTCTACAGGTCTAAGTAGACTTGTATTTTGATTTCAGACATACTTAAGGAGACTACTTTTTGGTTAATAGGTCTTATAGGAAGTAAGGGTCTTCCAATTGCTATATGGTCTTAGATGTGGCATTGACTTTTTTTTTTTAAATTTCATGTTTACACATATATTTTAGTTGTTGGTGGACCTTTAATCAATCAATCAATTAATTAATTAATATGTGGTGCTCAGAATCGAGCCCAGTGCCGCCCATTGAGTCACAACTCCAGCCCTGTGGCATTGACTTTTATCTTTATTGAGTGACATTATGTCAGAAAGATGAAATATTGATGGTGGTGATGGTGATCATTGTGGGGAATAAACGGGGGAAATAAAATAGGGAAATCTTCCTTGAGACTAGAGGGGTTTAAAAATAGCAGATATTTTCTCTGAAGGCAGGAAAGGAAAAGAGAGACACACTCATAAGAAAATATCCTGGACTATCTGGCCTAATACTTTTGAAATCTTCATAGTTGGTATGAAGTTATTGGCGATAGTTTTTGGGTTTGTTATGATATTTTTTTTTTTAAAGAGAGAGAGAGTGAGAGAGTTTTAATATTTATTTTTTAGTTTTCGACAGACACAACATTTTTGTTTGTATGTGGTGCTGAGGATCGAACCCGGGCCGCACGCATGCCAGGCGAGCGTGCTACCGCTTGAGCCACATCCCCAGCCCTGTTATGGTATTTTTAAAATCAGAAATGTAATAGAATGCTAAACAAGTATTATGGTTTATTTTTAGATGAAGGATGGAGGAATAGCTATGAATGAATCTAACATAGTCTTTGCTTGTGAATACTTGAGTCCCATGTATTTTTACAGGAGTTGATTTCTTTCATTTGTTTATTCAAGAAGAGGGCAGAATATTTCACTGTGTTTTTGTTAGAATCCTAGAAAATAGTCTTGACTAAATCTTCAGATACATTTTGAGTAGTGACTCTCTGAAATTGATGACTTTACATGGAATTTTATAGTTAGTGGTGAAAGCTGAAATTTTCATCTTTTAGTATAATTTCTCATATTTAGTAATTCTGTAAGTTAATATTTATTTCCACTACAGGTATTAAAACAGAGACCAAGGTTTGTAGCCTTGAAGAAGCAACCATCCTATATTGGAGGACATGAGGGTTTGGAATTGAGAGATTATCAACTGAATGGTTTAAATTGGCTTGCTCACTCATGGTGCAAGTAAGTATATTTTAAAATCATTTTGAGATTAAAAATTTTATAAAAAGTTAGAGAAGATTTCCAATATTATAAAGGATAAAGCCCTTTGGGATTTTATATTCATTCCCCGTTTTTTATAAATAGTTTTTATTACGTACTAGAAAGAAGGGACTTATATAGTATAACTTGTTTAATTGTTGGAATTTTTCAGTGTGTTTTTATTCAATTTAAATATCATGTACAGTCTCATCCCACACTATTTCTAGAATATTTCTCTTTTCTATAGTTATTTACAGTAATAATTTAGTCCACGTTTTCCATATCTTATAGTTTCTGCTCTTGAGAATATACATAACTCCTAGTTGCATTTTTCACCTGTGTTCTTCCTAGATACTTTTTATAATTATTTAGTATCTCTGGACTTTATCTCTAATAGATCATACGTATGTTCATATAAATGTGTCCACATGATATGAAAAGACTTCTGTATGTATTGAATCTTTATTACATACTTATTTTAAAATTTTTTGTTTTTTAACTTTGTAGAGGAAATAGTTGCATACTTGCTGATGAAATGGGCCTTGGAAAAACAATACAGACGATCTCATTTTTGAACTATTTGTTTCATGAACATCAGTTATATGGACCTTTTCTGTTAGTAGTACCACTTTCTACTCTCACATCCTGGCAAAGGGAGATTCAGACATGGGCTTCCCAAATGAATGCTGTGGTTTATTTAGGTGATATTAACAGCAGAAACATGGTAAGTTGTTTCCCCACAGATTTAAAATCTGGAAATACTGTCTTTGACCATGAGTATTTTATCTTTTTTGTTTTGTTTCTGTAGTTCATTCTTTTTGTTTTGTTCATTTGTTTGGTACTGGAGATTGAACCTAGAGGCCCTTTACCACTGTGCTTCATCCCCTGCCCTTTTTATATTGAAACAGGGTCTCAGTGAATTGCTGAGGCTAGCCTCAAACTTGGAATCCTCTTGCCTCATCCTCTCAAGTAGGTAGGATTACAGGCATGTGCCTCCGTGTCTGGTTTGTAGCCTTAATTCTAGCATAGAATTTGCCACAAAGATAAAATAAAAATAATAAAATATCATAATTAGATACAATAAAAATTGGATATAATCAAAATCAAATAAGGTTTAGATATCATATGTATTTTTTCCAACTCTTATAGAAAATTTCAGATATACAAAGCTGTCAGTACAGTGTCACTTCACAATTTTAATTCATTGCCAGTTTTGTTTCTTCTATACCTCTACATATTATTGTCCTCCCATTGTGAAGAAAACTCCAGATATTCATCCATAAATGTTAATATTAAATGAATTTCTTAGGTTTTATTAAATGAGATCTTTCTTCAGTGAAGGTGTGTATTAAAAAGATGTTTGTTTCTTTTTTTAAATAAGATGTTTGTATGATACAGTGTTTGTATTTCATGATGAGATTAATACAGCATGCAGGACATTAAAAATAATTTTTGTTGTATAAACATTCACAGGTTTTTGTGTGTGTATGTATTATGAGTGGCTTTTGTTTTAGATATTCAAGGAAAAGAATAATTTGCTTAATTTTCTCTTAATTATCTTTAAAATTTCTTAATAGATACGAACACATGAGTGGATGCATCCCCAGACCAAACGGTTAAAATTTAATATACTTTTAACAACTTATGAAATTTTATTGAAGGATAAGGTATGTATTATCTCTTTTGTTGTTGTTTGTTTGTATATGTCAGTTTTGCCTTTATTGTATGTTTGTAGACAGTATGAAAGGATAACTTAAATCATGACCCAGGCCAACAAACTACAGCTTGTGGGCCTTGAGCTAAGAATGATTTTTAACCTTTTAAAAGGGTTACAGTTAAATGATTATATAGAAAGAATATGTGATAGAGACCACATTTTGATCTGCAAATCCTGAAGTATTTGTGATTTTAACTCTTTACAGAAAATGCTTGCCAACTCTTCACTTAAACCAGTTTGTAGTGTCTGTTGATTTGTAAGCATTTTAGAGAGGAGAATGATGCTTAACATGATGAAACTACCACTTTATGAAGCACTGTATTAATTGCTTTACAGCTACTGTGTCAATAAATTCTCTCTTCTACATTCTATTTGTTGTTTCTACTTTATTGAATAGAAATATTGAGTCTCCTAGAATTTAATGAAATTATCTTAAGATCACACAGTTATTAAGCAGCAGAATCAAGCCTGTTAGAGTTCTAAATTTATATATTGGATAGAGATCTATATAGTACATAAAAGTCAAGTAGTAAATAATACCTGCAGTTGGAATAAGACACTGTTCCAAATTGACATTAATGGAGACCTTCATTGGACTTAGAATTTGTTTAGTGCTCAACCAACGAGCCACATCCCTAGCCCTTTTATTTATTTATTTTTTTGAGATAGGGAGGGTCTCCCTAGGTTGTTTAGGGCCTGTGTATGTTGCTGAGGCTAACTTTGAATTTGCGATCATCCTGTCTCGGCTTCCCGAGCCACTGTGATTACAGGTGTGCACCACCACCAAGATTTAAAATCTTGTAAAGTTCTAAATGGTGTTATTAGTTTTTCCTTTCTCATCATTATATAAGCTAGTATAAATTTCAACCTGATATTTGCTCCTGTCTAATGGTTAAATTAGTCATAGAAAAAACATTTAGTATGAAGTGTTACTTGATTTAAAGACTCCAATAAATCTTGAAATAAAAATTATTTTTCTATTTGGAAATTAGACAGAATTTATTTTTAATTTAGTTTGTTTTAACCTGAATTCACATCAAAGAGGAATACTAAATTTAAATTCCATTTTTTTCTCAATATTAACTGTGCTCTTTTGTTTCTTTTAAGGCATTCCTTGGTGGTTTGAATTGGGCATTCATAGGTGTTGATGAAGCACATAGACTAAAAAATGATGACTCCCTTCTTTATAAAACTTTAATAGATTTTAAATCGAATCACCGTCTGCTTATTACTGGAACTCCTCTACAAAACTCCCTCAAAGAGCTGTGGTCATTACTACATTTCATTATGCCAGAAAAGTAAGACTAATTTGGGACATACAATTTTAGTCATGATTTTGTATGCTAATGTTGGATGGAAAAAAATTAATGCAGGTAATAAAAATCAGTTAGTGGTTTTATTGCTCTAAAACATTGTTTCACAGATTATTGAGAAGAATAAAAGGAGATGGGGTGAGATACTATTTGGGGTTTGTGGCATTTTAATTTTTAAATTTTTGTACATAGCCATGTATAATAAATTACAACAATTGATTTACCCATGCTCAAAATATACCTTGCTTGAAAATCAAAATAGTACTGTTCTTCATACTGACTTGTAGTAGTAAAAAGAACAACAAGCTGCTGATAATCCCATTCTACAAAAAAGGAAAAATAGACTAGAAAAAGTTAAACAACTTCGTGATGGGAGCATGCACATTTTTTAATAATAGATTCATAGCTTTAAATGTATGTATTTATTTATTTGGTACTGGGGATTGAACGCAGGGGTGCTTAGCCACTGAGCCACATCCCCAGTCCTTTTTTATATTTTATTTAGATACAGGGCTGTTGAGGCTGGCTTTGAACTCACAATTCTCCTGCCTCAGCCTCCCTAGCCTCTGAGATTACAGGCATGTACCACGATACCTGGCTAAATTTTTATTTGTGAGAAATACTTCAGTAATAATTGCTTTCATACTTAAATACTTCTGATTTAAGCTCAAAGGGAATCATGACTTATAAAACTCATATTTTACTTTTATAAGTATATACAATTGAAGGGAGGAAAATTCTTATGACTACCCTGGAAAATATCATCCACTTTTTTTTTTTTTTATTGTTCCATTATTTTAAATTTTAAAGGTTTTCTTCCTGGGAAGATTTTGAAGAAGAACATGGGAAAGGGAGAGAGTATGGTTATGCAAGCCTCCACAAAGAACTGGAGCCATTTCTGTTACGCCGAGTTAAGAAAGATGTAGAAAAATCTCTTCCTGCCAAGGTTGAGCAGATTTTAAGAATGGAAATGAGTGCTTTACAGAAACAATATTACAAGTAAGCTGTACACAGAACACCTGTTTCAAATATTTAATTCTGGTTGACTTCCATGTTTTTGTCTTGGTGTTCCCACCCTCCTCACAAATAGGATCCTTAAGGGTACCAACTCTTGAATTTTAGAATGGGGTTTGTCTTATGACATAATGGGGCATAGAGAAAGAGATATAATGTCACCTTCAAATTGTGGGTAATGTAAGACTGAATCATCTTCTAACAGGTCATTTTGTTTCTTTTCTAGATGTTATACTGTTACATAATTTTTTTAAGTGTTAGGGTTTCCATGATATTAAGGTATTATAATTATAAGAATTGACAGATGGAGGTTTAAAAAAAATTAAGACAAAATTTTAGGCCCCCCTGCTTTATGAAGAAGAGCCATAACTTTTTGTGTATATTTTGCATGTCAAAACTATATAGTACCATTTATTTAAAGAATCAAATGTCCTGTCATCTGCTTAAATATTTAATTGCATAAAATAAAGCACATTGCTTCATCTGTTTCAAGTCTAAGTATCATGCTCTTAAAATTATACTTATTACAAAAGTTGTAGGTTTTAACTAGGGAAAATTTCAAAGATACACAAAAATAGGGTAATAAAATTATTTTAGTTAGCTTTTTGTCACAGTGACCAAAAAATCTGACAAGAACAATTAGAGTGGGAAAAGTTTATTTGGGGGCTTAGAGTTTCATACGTCACAGTTCATAGATGACTGATGAAGTAAGACAGGAGGTGGAGGAAAGCAGATAAAGAGATTGCTCCCCTCACAATACTCCCAATGATCTACTTCTTTCTCTAGTCACACAATACCTGCCTGTAGTTGCCACCCAGTTAATCCCAATCAGGGCATTAATGTACTGATTAGGTTCTTAAAATCTGATCATTTCACCTCTATACTTTTTGCATTGTGTCTCAGACATGAGCTTTTGGAGGAATGCCACATATCTAAGCTACAACAAATTTTCCTTCCATGTACCTTTCAGCTTAATTTTCGACTCATAACTACTCTTGCTTCATTGCTAGCCATCCTCATTTCTCCTACTTCATATTCTTTTGAGGTAAATCAGAGAGGTACAGTAGTTTCATCCACTCATGTTTTTTCCATGTTTCTCTTATAATTGATTAATAAACAAGTTCTAGTATTCCACTTGAAAGTTTAATAATAGTTTCTTTATTAGCATTGGATATGATGTTTAAATTTTTTTTATCTATTGTCCCAAACTTTGCTTTTTAAGTTTAATTCAATCAGGATTGAAATACATCCATTTATCTATAGGGCTCCCCCTTCTTTTTTTTTTTCCCTAAAACTTATATGATAAGAAAAAGTTATTCTATAGAATTTTTCCAGTGTAGATTTTGTATAGTACTCTCCATAAAATAGTTTAAAATATCTTATTTTCTATGTGTTGGGAGATAGCTCCTTGTTCAAAGTCAGGTGTTTTTTTTGTTTTTTTTTTTTTTTTGTTTGTTTTTTAGTTGTTTATGGACTTTTATTTTACTTCTTTATATAAGGTGCTAAGAATTGAACCAGTACCTCACATATGCCAGGCAAGCTCTGTACCACACTGAGCTACAACCCCAGCCCTAGGGTTGTAGAAGAGCCATAACTTTTCAGCCCTAGATTCAGATTTTTAATTTATGATGAGTATGTTTTGTAGTGCAAATGATAATATTCTAATTCTGGTATGGAGTTGTTTTTTAAGAATGTTTATGGAAAATTTGGAAATATAAGGAAAAGTAGACAGAAGATACAATTTCTTCTAATTCTCAGTGCTAGTCATATATCATTAAACTTGAACATTAGATTCTTCCAGGTACGTTTCATTAACTAAGATACTAAATTACTGCCATAAATGTATGTTAAAGGTTTTAGAAATTCTTTTTGGAAGAAAAAAAAAAGTCTTTTAGCCTTTATTACCTCTTCTAGCATTGAGCATTGTCCCTGGGTTTTATTTTGCTTTTTAGCCTGATGCAGGGAGATACTAAATAACTGGTGGTAAAGAAGGCTAGTAAAAAATATATAAACTAGATAGTTTGGGATTTTCACAGCTCTTTAAAGATGAATTTTATAAGAAAGGAAGAAAGTAAAAGATGGAATAAGAAAGTAAAAGATGGAAAAAAGAATCCATGTGCTAAATAAATGGTAAAAAGGAAATGTTTTATGTAGTTTGGACTAGTAGCACCAAAAGTTCTTCTGTAAGTTGCATATTTTTGTGTAAATGTAATTTAGAGAAGGCAATGTGGCTAACTGAGACCAGGTATTATGAGGTTTCTTTTAGGTGTGAGTAAAAGGTCTAATTTCAGAAGCTGTCTAAGGCAGTAAAACTGTAAGAAGGTTCAAGTAGATGATACAGTTGGCCATCTTTGTAGCAAATATTGGAGTGGGAGGATTAATACACTATCCCTGTTATAATACACTATCCCATACAATGTTACATAAAGCCTTTTCTATGTACAGTTAATGATTAACATAACAAAGAGTCCCATGAGTCTTATGAATGAGATTCAGTCCGTGGTATATCCAGTTGTGAATTTCATAATAGTACAATTTTACTTGTACTATGTTTCTTTTTTTAAGGTTTCAGAATTCATCTTGTTATTGTTCTGTTAAACATCATTTTCATTATTTTTTTTTCAAGATGGATTTTAACTAGGAACTACAAAGCCCTCAGCAAAGGTTCCAAGGGCAGTACCTCAGGCTTTTTGAACATTATGATGGAGCTAAAGAAATGTTGTAACCATTGCTACCTCATTAAACCACCAGATAATAATGAATTCTATAATAAACAGGAGGCCTTACAAGTAAGAATTTTTGACTATTACTTTGTGGTAAAGCAAAATTCTAGGAATGTTAATTTAAATTTAACTGAAAATGGTGTAGTGCCTTACGTAATATATTGGTTAGAAATTCTCATTGGTTAATGTTTTACTTTAATAATAGTCTTGAGTATTTTTTAGTCATTATAAAAATACTTAAAATTTTAATATCATTATTTTGATCAGTTTTATAAACATATTTCTCAAACTATGTATTATAGTAATTTACCCAGCAAAAAATCTATTAGTACATTCATAATTATGAAAAAATGATTATGCTGAATTTGTGAATTTGCAAATAGTAATCCAAAGAATATCTTAACACCAGAGCCTCCCTTTTTCCATTATTTCTGGAAGATAAATTTAAAAATATGAGAGCATATCTGTAATCCAGTCAAAGTAGTACATTGGGGGACCAGGATCAGATACTAATGTATAATACATTTGCTTATTCATTTAAATGTTGGATTGCTCTTCATCTGTTTTTGACTAAGATTTTGGAGAAATAGTATATGACAACTAGCAAATAGAGCGAAACAGTTCTTACTCCTTCCTAAAAATAAAAGAATCCATGTACTAAACGGTAAGGGACAATTTTAATTAATGTAATATAGCAAAATGGTAAAGGTTCTAGAAAATTTTGAAAACTGAAATTGTTTTTAGACCATTATGAAAATACACAATCTCAATTGAAAATAATGAAAGTGGTTTTTTTTTTTTTTTTCATTTGCTTCTTTTACTGTGTTGTAACAGTTTAAATTTATTGTATCCTTAGCACTTAATTCGTAGTAGCGGAAAATTGATTCTTCTTGACAAGCTGTTAATTCGCCTAAGAGAACGAGGCAATCGCGTTCTCATTTTTTCTCAAATGGTGCGGATGTTAGATATACTTGCAGAATATTTAAAATATCGCCAATTCCCCTTTCAAGTAAGTATTTCTTTATCATTTTTAAGTTTCATCTAATTCTTCAGTTTATTTTACAGAATTAACTTGGAAATTATTTTGTAAATGAAGTGGATTTTTACATAAAATGTATTAGTCTTTGAAGAAATATGTTTTTTAAAAAATTCTTGTCATAATTCCCTTTTTCTTTTCCCTTATATTTACCAACAAAGCACTTTTTCTTTCTTTAATTTCCTTTTAATTCAGTCTCTTATGCTTGCTTTAGATTTTGAAAACTGTAATAGGTGGATATTAGAGTCAGGTGCTCTTCTCAATACTTAAATATATTTAATCCTTACAGCATTTTTATAAATAGTGCCAGAAACATAGTTAACATTCAGTATGTACAGTTAGTAAATAGTATGTATTTTGTGCTAATAGTAAAATAGGAGAAGTAAGAGACTCACTACACATAATCCCTGCTCTGTTGGAATTCATAATCTGATGTGGGAGACAGACATTAAAGTATAGGTATTTACAAATGAACATAAACATTATCCCTATGGTAAATGCTGTGAAGGACAGGTTTTTGTTGATATGAACAAGATTGAAAAATATATAGTCATTTTTTAAGGGGAATAGTAGAAGAGTACCATTATTTGAGGGTTTTTAAAACCACTTTGATATGTAATTTCCATATTCCACTTAAAATATACCATTCACTGCTTTTTTAGCATATTTTACAGATTTGTACAACCATTACCATGTCAGTTTTAGAGCATTTGTATCACCTCAGAAAGAAACTCTGTATCCTTTAGCTACTCCTTGCCTTTCCATTCCTCCTCTAGCCTTGCTCTGGTATATTTTTAAATAAATTATTTTGTGTACATGGTCAAATGGAAAAAATAGTACAGAATTGCTTGTAAGCAGTTCTTTACCATCAATTCCTTCTTGTTCTAAATCATTTCCTGGAGAGAATTACTTTTAACTTTTTTTGTTTGAGACCATGCCACAATAGATGATGTACCACTATCCTTATGGGCTTTCTAGTTGTAATTTTAAGTGTTTTTCTCAGATTTTTCCTTTCTTTTTTTTTTATAGCTTTATTTTATGTATTTTTATGTGATGCTCAGGATTGAACCGAAGGCCCCATGCAAGTGCTCTACCACTGAGCCAAAATCTCAGTTCTTCAGGTTTTTCTTTTTAAAGTTAGAAATATGTATAGTGAAACTAAAAGTTCTTATAACCATTATCTTTTTTAAAGTAACATTTTCAGAAAGTATTTTTAAAATTATGTCAATTATGAACAATCACTTTGAGCTACATGTGAAATGAAAAACCTGAAAAAACTGTCAGTAGCAAGCAGTGTATATTAAACATCATTTGCAAAAAAAAAGAAATCTAAAAGGCATGTCATAAATAACTGCTGTCAGGCTGGGGATGTGGCTCAAGCGGTAGCACGCTTGCCTGGCATGCGTGCAGCCCGGGTTCAATCCTTAGCACCACATGCAAAGAAAGATGTTGTGTCCTCCAAAAACTAAAAAAATAAATAAATACCAAAATTCATTCTCTCTCTCTCTCTCTCTCTCCCTCTAAAAAAAAAAAAAAAAAGAAAGAAAAAAAAGTTTTTATAAATAAATAACTGCTGTCATACCTAGTTTATTTTTCCTTATAAACCATTGGCATTCTCCTTATGTTAGAGCTCATAGGGCACCTTGGATTTTCTTCTGTACTCTCAAGAGGAAGGTCACATTTAATCAGGCCACAAAAAGCAGTCTTTTCATATTGCCTTGGTGCCCTTTGTCCTACTTGACTCTGACTCAGTCATTCTTTGATAATTCCCTTAACCCAGTTAAGTAAAGTTGTCTACATGCTAAGCCAGTTGATGTGATTGCTGTTCACTGGTTGTTGGAAAAAAAGCGGGGGGCATTGTCAGGTACCAAGTAAATACCAAGTGAATATCTGTTTTCCTTGGGAGATATACTCACAGAGTGAGCCTCTTGTAAAAATGGTGAATTGAACACACATACTTATTTCTTTGTTCTTCTAGAAAGTCACTCAAATAGCAGTATAGTGCTTGGGGGCTTGGTGGGTAGAAACTTTTCAGAACATACATGAGAAAGGAAGAAATGGTAGAATCTGAATGGTAGGTAAATTCATGGTAACTAACTTAGTAGGTCTAAATGAACTGAATAATAAATAAACGGTGCAAAAATTTTAGAAACACACTAATCTACATTGCAAAAATCTGCAAAGGTTCAGGAATTCTTAACACTAGTTATTCGGAAAATGGGATACAGGTGGGTTTTAAAAAAAAAACAGATTATTGAAAATATTTTTGAAAGGGACATATTTATACCTTTACTCCTTTCTGAAACTTCACTAAAATGGCAGCCTGGTTTAATGTTTGCTTTGTTATAAGAATTGCATTCAGTGACCCAAACCAGTATCAACCAGAAACACGTTTTTACATACATTTATTATAATCTCAGTTCCTGAGTTTTTGGTTTTACTATTGTAACTCTAGTACCTTTTAGGTTTGTTATTATCTAGCTATTTTCTGCTGCCTTACAAAAATACCATTGATTTGGGTTATTAATCTTATAGCTGGTAACTTTGTTACATGATGCATTTTAATAATTTAGGCAGTAATCGTTCAGGCTTTCCATTTGATGGACAGTTATATTGTCTCTGTTAATTTTTTTATTTTTAATCCTTATAGGTTTTCTATAAAGACCTTTTTTTCTTACTGCATTGGCCATGACATTTAGTCCAATGTTGAATAGCAACACTGATAATAATTATAATGATTCATCATTAAGTATAATGTTTTCTATAAAATGTTTGTGCATATTTTATCAGGTTACAGACATTCATTTTTATAATTTGTCCACTGAGAATTTTTATAAATGATTATTAAATGTCATTCACTATTCAAAATACTTTATACAATAACAAAGCAGAGGTTGACATAGTTTCCCAACATACTAGTTTAACTCACCCACTGAATGCATGATCACAGTAAGCAAGTTATTTCTAATCTAAAACAAATTTATTAAATGTCGATTATAATTAAAGTGAAAATAATAGCATTGTTTTTATTTTGTTTTCTTTTTTTCCTTTTACTCAATCCAGGGCCTTGCGCGTGCTAAGCAAAGCTTTCCAATACTGAGCCACACCCCCAGCCCAATAACAGCTAATATTTAGGAAGTACTCAGTGTATGTCAAGCACTGTGCTAAGTTCTGTAGTCTGTGAAGGAGGCACTTATTGTTATGTCCATTTTACTGAGAAAGAAGTTGACACTGAGAAAATTCAAATCTCTTGCTGAAGGCATTCAAGATAGTTATTCAGGCTTTTGGAATAAAGCCTTCAGTGCCTTTAAAGCTTTAACATGCATTAGAATTAGAAGGAGGGCTTTTGCTGAACCCTTCTGATTCAATAGATGTGGAGTGAGGATCAAGTTTTAAGTTGTTATGTTCTTAGTTGACACTAATGCTATTGGTTCAGTAACCACACTGGACTTTATCAATGTTTTTTGAAGTGTGGATTGTGACCTGTTAATGGATCCTGGGAATCAGTTTAATGAGTTTCAACAACATTTTAAGAGATAAAACAGCTTCTAAATTATGAAACTATAGTACATCTCATGAAACTTATTTCAGGTATATGTATTCATTAACATATCTCCTACAATGAGTCTTAAGCAGAACAGTGTGACTGCTGATACTATGTATTCTCTTGGAAACAATCATTGGTAAAGAACACAGATTAGAGAAAGATCTGGACATTGTTTTATTATAGTACTTCGTATTCATAAAGTTGTAGTAAAGGGCATATGCCTTTTTATACTTAATTTTATAATTTTAATTGTTTTTTAACATTTTGAATGTGGTATATGCTTTATTTTAATGTGTTTTATTCTAGAGATTAGATGGATCAATAAAAGGGGAGCTGAGGAAACAAGCTCTAGATCATTTTAATGCTGAGGGATCAGAGGTATGAATGCTTTAAAATTGTAAATTTTGTTTCAATCCTATATTTTCTATAGTCATATTTATACTTTGATTAAAAAATTTATTGGTATTAGCTAGTTTTTATTAACAAATGGCTTTTTTAAAAAAGTCTATTTTCTGTTAAATCTGAAAAATTTTATACTCTTCTTAACAATACCATTTCATCATGTTAGTTAATTTGCTTTGAAGTGAATAACCCACTTTCATTTAGAATTCTTTGTTATGTACCTTATCCTTTATTTTTTAAAGTAATGAACATTACATATATAGTCAAAGCCTCATCACTCTCCTATTCCATTCCCTCTTTTTACCATAATTAAATACTAAAGTAATTTGTTTTTTATTATTAACAGGTTTATTTGTATTTTGGAGTATTGTTTATTGCTCTTTCTAAAGGTTTATATATTAATTTTCAATTTTATTAGTAAAGTTCTTTTTAATTTACAAAATCAATTTTTTTGGTTTTATTATTCATTCACTTATTTGAATTTTAAATCTTGCTAATTTACATTTTCTTATAGGATTTCTGCTTTTTGCTTTCTACAAGAGCTGGTGGTTTAGGGATTAATTTAGCCTCTGCCGACACTGTGGTTATATTTGATTCTGACTGGAATCCACAAAATGATCTTCAGGCACAGGCAAGAGCTCATCGAATTGGGCAAAAAAAACAGGTATTTCTGATTTCTGTTATTTTACTAGATTAGAATATTTTTTATGATTAGTATTTAGAATTGTTTAAGATCGTCAGGAGATAGAGGAAACATAGTCATTTTGCTATTGTATTTAACCAGTTAGTTATTGAGGAAACCAGTTTACCATACCTGGAGAGTCAGACAGAATAGTTATCTTAACTATCTTCAAATAACTTGGTTGTTTTAAATGAGATTTTGAGCAGTAGCTGATATATTAGCTATATATTGTCCCTGTGCTTACAAGATAACACACACATAAAAGCTACTTTCATTTTATAGATTTTGTTCAACCAACTGGCACCACTGTAACAAAATATTTCATTACTGTTGTAACTATTCCAACCATATAGAACCTCTTTCTGACTTTAAAAAAATAGAGGAAGTCCTTTTCAATTTTGGGAAGCTTTGTTTTGTAGTTGAGGCTTCTTCATTGCCTTGTGGAGAGGTTCATAGAATTTTATATTTCATGAGTGATGAAACATCAGAATCACAGGAACTGCCATAAGATCATTAGAAATTTACCATTTTTTTTCTTTTTTCCCAGCTAAATCAACTTTAAATAACGAATTACTTTTCAAAAAAAAAAACAGAGAAGAACATCTGTTAGCTAAACTGTAAAATAGAAAGATATATTCTCAAAAATTTCTAAAATTGAAGAACTTTAACTATATTGTTATTTTTATTTGTTTTGCTTATAATAATGAAAACTTCATGTTGGATGTTCCAGATTATATACTAGTGTTTGGGCACTTCAGGTTAGCACAACAAATCCTTTTACTGCAATTTTCCTTCCTCATGCCTGTTTTTACAGGTGAATATATATCGTCTAGTTACCAAGGGATCAGTTGAAGAAGATATTCTTGAAAGGGCCAAAAAGAAGATGGTTTTAGATCATCTTGTAATTCAAAGAATGGACACAACTGGCAAGACTGTACTTCACACAGGTTCTGCTCCATCAAGGTGGTTACTTTAGTATAAAAAAAATGCCATTTTAGTGTTACCTTAAACTCATTTTTCTAAAATTTTATATCACTGAGTGGATCACTGAAGTGCTATATTTTTGAAGACTAATTTCAGTCAGAGTGTGTACCTTCAGTACTTGGTTTTTCCACTACAGATTTATTCTCATGAACTTCTACACTTCAAAAGTTCCTTAGTTTAAAAATAACTATATTAAAACTTCCCCATTTAATTTTCTTATGTAACAATTATAAAGGTGACTATGTAAATGTAATAAAAGTGCCATGTAAATATGAACTATTAAAATTAAACATTTTTATTTGTTTTATTTGTTTTTAGTTCTACTCCTTTCAATAAAGAAGAATTATCAGCCATTTTAAAGTTTGGTGCTGAGGAACTTTTTAAGGAACCTGAAGGAGAAGAACAAGAGCCCCAGGTTAAAAAAAAAAAAAAAATGTATACTCAGAATGTGTACTTTATGATAGAAAGGAAAGATTCACATGTATTTAAAATAAAGTTTGTCTTTTAATTATAGGAAATGGATATAGATGAAATCTTGAAGAGGGCTGAAACTCATGAAAATGAACCAGGACCTTTAACCGTAGGAGATGAGTTGCTTTCCCAGTTCAAGGTAGATTTCTCTTTATATAATTGAGAGGGATTGAGTTACCTAGTATTTTGGTAATTTTTCTTTTATATAATAAGTAAGATAATTTTTCTCTTAAAATTTGTTTTTATAAAAATATTTTATTATTCAGAAAAACCAGTAGCAGCTGATGTGATTAAGAGACCAAATTGCTTATGAACAGATAAACTTAGTTGGGTGGGGGAAGCTGTTACTTTCTAATTGTCATCTAGAATAATTAATGCTCAGCAAATAGCATGCCCTCAAGTATTTGAGTAAATGAATGACGAATTTTAACTGATTTAAAAAAAAAAAAATATATATATATATATATATATATATATATTAGTATATAATATATATATTAGTAGATATTCACAATACCTTTATTTTGTTTATTTAGTTTTTTTAATGTGGTGCTGGGGATCGAACCCAGTGCCTCACGTGTGCTGGGCAAGTTCTCTACCACTGAGTCACAACCCCAGCCCCTTTTAACTGATTTTTATTAGAGCAATTTTTTATATTATATCAATTTAAGCATTATCATTAATGCTTATGAAGACTAATAAGGAAACACAATCACTAATAAGAAAACTTAAATCTATCAGACAAAATAAGCAGTAAGTTAACCATTTATTAATACTTATAAATATACACGATGTGGTAAGGGTACAGAGCTATAATATAAAAAGATCTAAAACAACATATATCAGCTGATGTTATATTAGTATTGGTAACCAGCTTTAATGAGTGCTTGCTATCTACCAGACTCTCAGTGCTTTAAATGTTATTTTCTCCTCACAAAAGTTACTTTGTTGTTTCTGTGTATTCCTTTAGAAACGAAAACACTAGGACTTAGGGAACCCAAGTCATTTATCTGAATTCTAACAGAGCTCCATGTCTCTATCTGGTTTTTTTTTTTTTTTGATCCTAAAGATAAGACTGTTGTTCAACAGCACTTGGTAGTTCATGGACTGGTCTGAGAATTCTATAGAATATTATTTAACGTGTTAATAGTATATACTACCTTTTTTCATTATTACTTGTTAACTGACTCTAGTTTGTTATCTGCCTCTAGTTCTTTTACACTAATAATTTTGTTGAGCAGCAGGGCAAAGAGAAGCTTTCCTGGAGGGAATGTTGTTAGAGTCATTTGGTTTGATTCTCTTTGCCCTAATGAAGAAGTAAATGCAGATAGGTTAGTAGTCATATCTGGTTTAGCTTATAGTCTTAGTCGTATTCATTTTCCCAAGATATTTTTGTTTTGTATAGTTTTATTTATTTATTTATTTATTTGGTGGGAGGGTTGAACCGGGGATTGAACTCAGGCACCCAATCACTGAGACACATATCCCCAGCCTTATTTTGTGTTTTGTGTAGAAGAGACAGGGTCTCACTAAGGTGCGTAGTGCCTCGCTTTTTGCTGAGGCTGGCTTTGAACTAGCAATCCTCCAGCTTCAGCCTCTGGAGCCACTGGGATTACAGACATGCGCCACTGTACCTGGCTAGTTTTTTGTTTTTGAGTGCAGCCTTGCTATATTTTGTTGCCCAGGCTGGCCTCAAACTCCTGGGCAAATGATCTTCCTGCTTCGTCCTCCTGGGTGGCTGAAATTATAGGCACAGGATGGTGTGTCCTACTGATATAATATGTTTTTTTCCCCAGGTTTTAACATGTTACCGTTTCTCTCTTTAAGAAATTTATAATTTACGAATACATTTTTCTATACTACATACTCTGTTAAAATTTCTGAAATTTATCAGGTTGCCAATTTTTCAAATATGGATGAAGATGACATTGAATTGGAACCTGAAAGAAATTCAAAAAACTGGGAAGAAATCATTCCAGAAGATCAAAGAAGACGGTTAGAAGAAGAAGAAAGGCAAAAGGAACTTGAAGAAATTTATATGCTCCCAAGAATGAGAAACTGTGCAAAACAGGTGACTTTGTAATTTAAACTTTCCTGTTAGGAGTATAGTAATCACCTTGGACTGGTCTTTTTGTTTGTTTTGTTTTTATATGTATTTTTTTCTTACAGTATCTTTGATTTAATAATGTTTACCTTATAAAATGAGTTGAAAAGTGTTCCCTTCTTTTTTGGGGACTATTAGAGAGCTTGGAAATATTTCTTTATTGGTGGAAGTATTGTTTGGGAAACTATCTAGGCCTATAATTTTCTATGGTGTTTGTAGAATATTTAATGATGTTCTTTTTTCACTTACCTAATGTTAGTATTTTCTTTCTTGATCATTCTAGGTAGAATTTAACCTATTTTATTAATCTTTTCAAAGAATCAACATTTTGTTTCATTGATTTTTCTATTTTCACTTTCATGTGTTTCTATTCTGTATCATTTCTTCCTTGCTTTTGGTTTCACTTTCTCCTTTTTTTAAAGGTCTTACGGTTTGAGCATAAATACTGAATTGTCTTTCTTTTCTAATATTAGCATTTAATTTTAAGGATTTTTTATGAATTTCACATTTTAATGTTTTTCATTTCAGAATAATTTATAATTCCCCATGCAATGACTTTTTTGATCCATAGTTTTCTTAGAAGTGTGTTTTTTAAATTTCCAAATATTTGGAAGATTTTTCAAGTATCTTTTTAAATGACTTCTAGGTTAACTCTATGCTGGTCAAACAGTTTCCTTTGTACAAACTGGATTTAAAGGATTTTTTTTTTTCTTATGACCTGAAGAAACAAAATACTTAATTTTAATATAATGGTAACCTTAGTGTTATAAGCTCTCTTGTATCCTTTGGCAATAGGAAAAACTCTAATACGAGGCTTCTTTTTGCATTAATCTTTATTTTTTAGAACATTAAATTATAAGATTATTTGCATTGGTGCAAATAATTTTTTGGTGCCTCAAAATTTTGAACCAGAGGTATGATTCCTGCTTTACATTGGTCCTTGCCCAGCTACCTCTTTCCTAATGAAAGAGTTTTTTTGTTTTCTTTCCTACAACCATAATAGGGGGTTCTCTCATGCCCTTAGGCCAGTACATGAGAAGGGTTTGGCAGAGCTTCACACCTGTCCCCCAGAAGTTGACTGTATTACCTTTCTTTTGGCTTGCTCCTTGGATGTTCCCTCCAATTTCCCAGCATGCCTGTCCTTCTCATAAGTGCCTGGTGGAGGAGAAAGTACCTGAGAGTGGGTACAAGTTTTCACCCTGTCTTTGCTTTCTAGATGTCCTATGCTATTATGTTTGCCTACTTTTAGCCTTTAGCAGGTGTTGTGACTTGCAGTTGCCCTGCCGGTGATATATTCAGGAATTCACATGTACTAGGCAAGCTCTCTACCACTGAGCTATACCCTAACCCTGCCTGTAGGAAATTATACTTGCTTTCTTTTACCTGTTTGTATGATACTCAGAGTCTGTCACCTTAGCTCTTCATAAGTGAGCCAGTATTCAATTAATTTTCATCTCTTCTTTTAAACTCCTATTTTTCTTTATATTTTACAGAAGTAGATTTCCCTGTTATTTCATCTCTGATGCATTTAAGAAAAATTATAGATTTATTGTTAGGGTGGGATCCATGCCCTACCAGTTTTCTCTAGAACAAGCAGTAGTGGAACCAAATAATTTGGCCTGAAAGGGACTACATTTGTTGTTTCTTATTTATTTCTGTGAATTCTAAAATTATTTCCTTTTATAGTGCATGGGAAGTATAGCATTACATTAAGTCTTATGAAAGGGTTAGAGGAGGTTAAAATAATAATAGGGTTCAGAATATGTATAGAGGCTTTGGAAAAACTCTTAATACAGTGTATTTTTTGCTGCATGTGTTAAAACTGTTGATATTAGGAATAGACATTTAGTGGATTACATGGCATTTTTTCTGTGAAATAGATATTTGACATATAGCCTAGTTAGAATAGCAATGGGTGAATATTTAGAAAGAAAGTAGAAAAGAGGGATAAGGAATCATTCTTCCCCACTCTGAGATACATGACTAATAGTATTATTACAGTATATAACATTGTAATTTTTTAAATGGATTTCATTTCTTAGGTTAAATAGTAGTCACATTGTTATAGAATTTTTTTGCTCTTTGACAGTATATCATGAGTGTTAATTATTCTACAATACAATGATAATATTGCTAAAATTGTCCTCTGCTCTCAATTAAATACCCACAGAGATAGATACATAAGTGTCTGTTTTTCTGTACCATTATCAGTATTGACTATTATTACTTATTTGGTATTTGTCAACAGTGATAGATTTTAAAAAGGAGTTGTTATTTGATTACTTGCTTATTAATAACTTTTCATATTTTTACAAAAGACTGATGATTATTATTGATTTATAAGCATGCTTAAATTATTAAGGCTATTAATAACCCTTTGTCATTAACATGTTATTTTTTGTTCTGTTTGCTTAATTACTTTTGCTTGTGGAATATTCTAAGTTTTTATAGAGTTTTTCTTTGCCCATTAGATAAAAGCTTAACTTTACCCTAAATTGGGTGAATTTTTTTTTTTTTTTTTCAAATTCCAGATTAGTTTCAATGGAAGTGAAGGGAGGCGCAGTAGAAGTAGGAGATACTCTGGATCTGATAGTGATTCAATCTCAGAAAGGAAAAGGCCAAAGAAACGTGGAAGACCACGCACTATCCCTCGGGAGAATATTAAAGGATTTAATGATGCAGAAATTAGGCGGTAAGATGATAATAGAACATTTTGTTTTAATTTGGTTTCATAGAAAGTAAAACTAAAATATGAAAATCTAATAATTTTCAAAAATTAAGATGATAGTTTTAGAGAAGGCAAATATATGATGTTTGAGTAGGAATTGAGCATTCCTTCCTGGCTTTTGGGTTCATTATAACTGTAAAAGCAAGTTCAACTTCTAATCTTTGCATGTTATTTATTGCTAGGCTAGACTACTAAAATTTTTTGGTTTTATTAATGTATTTCAGAATAATGGTTTTGTTTATTAAAAATTCACACTGCTTTGTTGATTCCCAGGATTAGTAATTTTTTTGTGGGAGTAATTTAGTTCTGTATTTTTCTAATGTCTTAACATTGAAGTGATTGCTTTTTGAAAGTAACCATGTTTAAAACATTTCTGGGATTGGGGATGTATCTCAGTGGTAGATTATGTATTTAGCATGCCCAAAGCATCTGATCACCAGCACCACAGAACAGACAACAGTAACAAACCATCTCTGATATGACCAAGTAGGAAATGGGTTAAGATTAGCCATGCAGGATAAATTGTAGTTTTTGCTCAAAATATACTATATTTCTTTAAGGGAAATGGAGTAGCAACTTATTTTGTTAATAGTTTTGCATGTGAAATTTGTAAAAAGATTGTTCATTACTCTAGAGTTTGTTGTTTTGTTTCTTTCAAGCCATTGTAACTTTTGTCTTTTAAATCATAGACCTGACTGATAAGTTCTTCCTCATTCTTCCTAGCAGACAACTAAATACATTGTTAGCTTCCCTTAAGAGCATTTTTATGACATCTGATTTGCTGGTTCTGTTTTTACTTGGAGAAGCATTTCATCTTCTACTTTTCCTGGATATTTTTCCTCATCTATCAACCACCTACATACTTTTTTTCTGAAGTAAAATTTTTATTTTCCATTGTTTAGTGTAATACCACACATCTGTCTTATTTTTATCAGCACTTGGAATGTGAGGAGGTGTAGTATGATTGATAATTATTCTGGAGACACTTCCTGTGATAACTTTGAACCCTTTTCCAGTCTTGTGAAAATAATAAAGTAATTCTAAATGAAAATTTAGCTTCTATTGTTTTATTTACATTGGTATCTTAAGTTCATCCTGGGTGTAAAAGTACTTGTTTTACTTTGGTATATAGCTTCATGTTTTGACATTTGTGTATTTATAACATACCTTTTTCATTTTTTTGTTAGTAAATGTGCTCTGAATTTATTTTTGCACTAATAAGTATGTTATTTCTGCATATGTTGTAAATATATGTATATTTTTAAATGGATAATGAAGATCACATTTCAACCAAGTGTTTATTTTCTGCTAGGTTTATCAAGAGCTATAAGAAATTTGGTGGCCCTTTAGAAAGGTAAATGCATTTGTCATCCTCATAGAATTCTAAAATTTTATATAACTGTCAGCTTGCTTTAGTTGTATTAATATTTAGTTTGCTACCTTGTTTAATTTGCTTTTAAGAGGCATTTAACAATCTAGGAAACAAATTTTAGATTTTTTGAAAAAGATTTATTTTTTATTGTGGTCTGTAAATTTTTCTTATCTATAAATGAAGTTGTCTAAAACAAATTTAAATTTTATTTTTATAACTAATGTATTTTTTATTGTTTGTTTGATTTTTCATTATTCAACTTATGAACCACAAATTTATTCATAGAGGTGCTGAGTTGCTAATTTAACTTACCACTGTTTTTTCTAATTAGAAAAATTTTTAGTTTTTTAAATTACATCCTCTTAGTACATAAACAACTAAAATTTTTTAAGCTATGTGTTAATCCCAATAATTGTTGGTCATATAAATATTCTTTGTCTTTTGTTGTAGCCAATCCTTTCTGAATGTAGAGCAGCAAAGACTCAAATTAATTGACTTTTTCCTCTTAAAAACTTTAAAAATAGAGATTATTATATTTTTTTTTGAGGCAACTAAAAATGCAATGAAATACATGCATAATTATTTTAGATGGTGGAAAAAATGTCTAAGTTAATTTTTCTTTATGTTATCTGTTGCATAGTTTACTCTCACTTATAATTGTCATAAAACTTGTATTATTTAAAATTTGATCAATTTGTAAAAAAGATTTTATAGAATTGGCATATGATTTTCAAATCTGTATACCTATTATACAGTTTTCCAATTAATTTTCCAATTGCTCTGTAATGAGTTTTCAGAATTTATTGTCTTGGAATATGTAAACAATTTGTATTTCTACTAAATTATTCTAGGTTTTTTTCATGTTTTAAACTAGAATTTATAAGACATTTATTAGAGTGACATTTTAATCTTAAAATAGATAACTTGGTTTATCACAAACAGTGCTACATCATTTAACACATATGCCTGAAATTTGTCTTATTTTGATACAGATTAGATGCAATTGCTCGAGATGCTGAATTAGTTGATAAGTCAGAAACAGACCTCAGACGATTAGGAGAATTGGTGCATAATGGCTGCATCAAAGCTTTAAAGGATAGTTCTTCAGGAACAGAACGAACAGGTAACATTAAAATGAGTGATTTAAAAGAGAAAAATGAAAGTTTGAAGATATACTTTTTGAGTTAGGTGTTATGTCTTAACTTACCTGTTTATTAGTTTTAGAAGTTGCTTTACAAGACAAAGGAAGGACCTGAGTTAGAGGAAATGGAGAACAGAATTCCAGTTTTGAAGGCAATGGAATCTATCCTTTAGCGTCCCTGATGTATTCTGACTGGGACACAATGTCAGAAATTAATTACATGAAATACAATTTGAATCTACATCTGCCAGATTGTAATGATTGGTTTATTATATATAGTGAAAGTAAGGTTTTTGTCAGTAATCCCTTTCTTAATGGTATAAATAATACTTAAGTAATAGCACATATTGTTTTGTATTTTGTAGAATTATGCTTTATATGTTTTTCTATACTCTTGTCTAAAAAATTAAGGTGGGAGACTTGGAAAAGTGAAGGGGCCAACATTCCGAATATCGGGAGTACAAGTGAATGCCAAGCTGGTCATCTCCCATGAAGAAGAATTAATACCTTTGCACAAATCTATTCCTTCAGATCCAGAAGAAAGAAAGCAGTGAGTTACTTTATAAAATTTTTGTTGTTAAGTAGCTTTGATATGAAGGTATGTTAAGTTTTTGTGGCATTGTTGGCTACTTTTGGACCAGGATTTTTAATGACTGAAATGTTTTTCGGAATTAATTTTTTAATGTCAGTTATAAACATGGAAGTAATTATTAACTTTAATAATAGGTATACAATCCCATGCCACACGAAGGCAGCTCATTTTGATATAGACTGGGGCAAAGAAGATGATTCCAATTTGTTAATTGGTATTTATGAATATGGATATGGAAGTTGGGAAATGATTAAAATGGATCCTGACCTCAGTCTAACACATAAGGTACTGTATATCTCTTGACTTTGTTGGCTTTAATTTATTCTAATCTTTTAAATTATTATGGAAATAAACTAGGAATAAGCAGTCAAGGCTCTGGTTAGTTGTGTGCTCATGGCTTCTTTAGAACTTTGTTTTCATGAAAGGATTAAGTTTAAACAAGTGATTTCTGAGTCTTTTGCCATACTTCTGGAATTATATTTTTGTTTTTAAGACAGGTATAGACAGGTATATTTTCCTTTAGATTATTGGGTTAAAAAATCTTCTGTTACATCATTAACTTATTTGAAGACAAAAAACAATCCTTAAGCTGTCAAGGTTTTTAAAAATATGTATTTTTAAGTTTTTAGGTGATTTGATTCTACTGTGTTAGGTAAACGAATATCTTTGCATAAAATGGAAAACACTGGAAGTATTTTTTTTTTTTTTTTTTTTTGGTACCTCTTTAGATAACTACTAACTTTTAGATATCAATGCTTTATCATTTGTTCCTATTAAGGAAAACTTAAATGTCAAGATTTCCACTGTGAAAATTTCCTCAGGAGGTCACCTTCTAAATAGGTGGTACTCTGTATTCCAGGAATTGTTATATATATATGGTGTTATTGAGAGGAAGGGATTCTAAGGAAAATGTAACATTTAATAACAGCAAATGTTAAATGCACTTTTTTGTATATTTGAAAGAATTTGTAATCAAACTTTTCTGTTTTTATTTTGAAAGGTAATAACAAGGGACTTTTTTTGAGGCATATTTATTTAGGATTCATTTCTTAGAAAATTAAATTTTTCCTGTGGTGTAGATATTTTTTAAAATGTATATTGAATGAGTCATTCCTATAAATACTAAAATTTGTAACTTTAGTGAGTTATTATATTTCTTAAAATGGTTAAATATTTTTTACCAGTAAACTTTTTTCACATTTTTTATTGTTGCATGTAGTTGTATACATTGATGGTATTTATTGTTACATGTTCATACCTGCGCACAGTATAATTTGGCCTATCACCAATAAGCTTTTTATGTTATTTAACCTGAAATTTAATTGCTTTTTCAGATTCTTCCAGATGATCCTGATAAAAAACCACAAGCAAAACAGTTGCAGACACGCGCGGACTACCTCATCAAATTACTTAGTAGAGACCTTGCGAAAAAAGAAGCTCTGAGACTTTCTGGTGCAGTAAGTTAAAATTGAGATGCTTAAGAGTGGTTTACTTTTATTTTGTATAAGGTAAACCTAGTTTATTGACCATCCTAGACATGCATAGTTTTTCTTTAAAGTTTTATTTGAATATGGTAATGTTTTCCTTTAAATTATTTCACCATATATATTAAAACTGATGAGTTCATTTTTTTCTAGTATTTGGATAGGGATTAAAGAAAATTTGTTAGAGTGTTGAGTACTCTTTGAGAGGTTGAGCCAGGGAGCTGTTTTATTGGAATGCATTAGACTTTAAGTAGTAGTACCAGAGGTCTCTGACTTTATTTATGTGGAAGCTCCAAAAAAAGACACTAAGAAGGGGATGATTGGAAACTTAAAGCAGCCATTAAAAGTTTACTTATGACTACAATAACTACCTGGGTACTACTAAAACTGATTTTTAATGGTATCTCTGGTACCATTGAATTTAATCAAGGTTGATAATAACCTAATTGTGAAAATCCACTTATATTACTCATTCCTGTTTTGTTTTGTTTGTTGTTGTTGTTGTTTTGTTTGAGTACTGGGGATTGAACTCAAGGGCTCTAGACCACTAAGCCACATCCCACTCAAATTGCTTGTTTTTTAATTTAGAGACAGGTTCTCACTCAGTTGCTTAGGGCCCCACTAAATTACTGAGGCTGGCTATGGACTAAAGATCCTCCTTTCTCAGCCTCTCAAGCTGCTGGAATTACAGGCATGTACCACCACGCCCGCCTTACTCATTTCTTGGCTAGTATTTATTAAAGTATGGGTGGGGTATATATTCTAACCTTTATATTTAGTATTTTTGAAGTTTTTAAATAATGAAATCTCTGGGCCAGGATGTAATAACATGTACCTAGCATGGTCAAGGTCCTGGGTTCAATTCCCAATGCTGTAAATGATAAAAATGAAAAATTTTTAAAAATTTGTGGGTTTGGTTAAAATAAAAAATAATGTTTTTAGGGAGGTTTAAAGAGAAGAAAAATAAGAGCTAAGAAGAATAAAGCAATGAAGTCTATGAAACTGAAAGAGGAAATAAAGAGCGATTCCTCTCCCCTGCCTTCAGAGAAGTCTGATGAAGAAGATGATAAGGTAAAAATGCATTTTTTAGAACAGTAACATTTTCTATGGAGATGGGAACGTGGCATGTTTTCAAGTGTGTTACATTTAAAAATTAAGCTAAGGTCTGAAATCTTACTTTTTAAAAATATTTTTCCCCTCGTGGTGCATAATGTAGTCTCTTATAGAACAGAATTCTACCTATGCAGTGGATACATTAGATGCATAAAGCAAAGGTCCTTCCTTTTCAAACATTTGCCAATTAAATGAACTTCTCTCTCCTTTAAGGTTATTATTTGAATGGGACTGGCTTACTTTAGTTTATAGGAAGATAAACATTGCATGTATCTTTAAGGGGATTCTGGGTTATCTCCTTCAGAATCCACATACATGCAATTCATAGTCATGCCAAAAAAAAAAAAAAATTAGTCTTTGTCAAAATTCAGTTAGTAATACATTGGCCATACTTGCACTTTCTAGGATGAGATCACTTCTGTGAAACATCCAAATAAAAAAATTAAAACAGAAAGAGACAGTGAAGAAAAACCTGAGCCAGATGTTTGTATAAAGAAGGAATCAGAAGAGAAGAGGGAAGCAAAAGAAAAGGAGAATAAAAAAGAACTTAAAAGGGAGATAAAAGAAAAAGAGGATAAGAAAGATATAAAGGAAAAAGATTTTAAAGAAAAAAGAGAACACAAAATAAAAGAAGCTATGCAGAAAGAAAAAGACATAAAGGAAGAAAAGGTATGCAATTCATAATGTAAAATTTAGAAAATAAACAATCAGCATATTTACATTTTAGGATACTAAATTGCATATCAGCCCATATAAGTCTATATAACTGAGTTTTTTAGAAGTATGTGTGGGAATATAGTAAAGGAGAAAAACAGGTTTGAACACATTTTAATGCCTTACATATATGGTAAACAATATAGGGTAGCTTTTTTTAAAAAAAGAAAATAGATAAAAATATTCAATGAGAATAAGCATGTGTAGGACAAATTGAGACAGTAATTGTTTTCTGAAAGTTTTAATCATTTTGCCTTTGCTGTTGGGTTTTTGTTTTTATTTTCTCTTTTCAGCTGGGTGAATCCAAGTCTGAAAGTAAAGAAAGATCCAAAAAATCTTCAGTGTCTGATGCTCCAGTTCATATCACTGCAAGTGGTGAACCAGTTCCCATATCTGAAGAATCTGAAGAACTTGATCAGAAGACATTCAGCATTGTAAGCAGTAGACTTTCTGATTATTAGCATTAATTCATGTAACATTTTACTAAGTTGCAATTTCACCTATGAAATTGAGCTATGAATTAGAAATGTATTTGAATGTGAGTTCAGATTGATATAAATAATAGATTTAAATTTTAGATAGTGTGCTAAAATTAGAATCAGTTTTGAAAAGCCTTTAATAAGGATCGAAGGAGAAGGTTTTAGAGGGAACCATTTTCCTTTAGCTTTGGAATTTTAAGGTAAAGTATTGTAAATTCTTAAACCAGTAGGTTTAGTATTCTAGTGTTTCTTCTCTATGGTAAAACATTATTTTTATGTCAGTTTATTAGAAACCAGTATTTTTAGAATAGATAATAAAAATGGAAATGTTTTATTAACAAAATAAAAGAAGAAAAAATTATATATAAAATATAAACCACATTTTTTTTTTATTAGATTGAGTAGACCTAAAATTGTACTGTTAAATTATTGTGAATGTTTCTGAACACACTCACTTTCTGTACTTATTTTGTTTCAAACAAAATAAGTACAGAAAAGGACTGAGTAAGACAAGATAGGTATCGAATTTTCAGAGCTTGAACCAGGATTACGATATGCACATTATTCTAGACTCTTAAGGATTTATACTAGTTGAGCAATTAACATACATCACTGGTTAGACTGGGTTATTATCTTTTAGTTTTATCATTGTTAATCAAATACTTTACTTGAAAGATATACATTTTCCCTTCTAACACTAAATTTGTGATTGACCACTATGTTATTCTTCTTGCCCTCTTTTCACGCTTTTTCTCTCCTTTGGATGCTGACTGGAAAGTACTGATAAATTCTCATTCTCTGTAGATTTTATGATATCCCCTACAATAGCTTTCCATGCTCTTTTAAACATAGTAGTTCCTACCACATTTTCACAGTTTTCTTGTTCTGTTAACAGTTGGTATCATTCCAATCACTGAGAATTTGGAACACTCAAAGTAAGCTGCTCCTATCTACCATTTATTTATTTGAGCCATATGTGCTATTTTTGGCCTTTCCTCTTTTTTTTAAAGCAGAATTTTTTAAAAATTTGTTCTTTTTAGTTACACATGGCAGTAGAATGTATTTTGAAATACATACATGGAGTATAACTTGTCACTTTTGTAGTTGTACATGATATGGTTACACTGGTCCTTTGTTCATATATGAACAGAGAGACAAGTTATGTCCAATTCATTCTACTGTCTTGCCCATTCCCATCTCTACCTTCTTCCTCCCACTATGACCTGTCCCATCTGATGAACCTCCCCACCTCCCTTTTCCTACATGTTGTAAGTCAGATCCACATATAGAGAACATTCAACCTTTGGTTTTTGGGGATTGGCTTATTTCACTCACTTAGCATTATAGACTCCAGTTCCATCCATTTACTGGCAAATGCCATCATTTCATTCTTTGTTATGGCCGAGTAATATTCCATTGTATATATGTACCACATTTTCCTTATCCATTCATCTATTGAAGGGTACTTAAGTTGGTTCCGAGTTTAGCTATTGTAGATTGAGCTTCTGTAACCATTGATGTGGCTGCTTTGCTGTAATATGTTGATTTTAAGTCCTCTGAGTATAGTACGAGGAGAGGGATAGTTAGGTCAAATGATGGTTCCATTCCAAGTTTTCTGAAAAATCCATACTGCTTTCCAGAGTGGTTGCACCAATTTGCAGTTGAACCAGCAACTTATGAGTGTGTACCTTTTCCTTAACATCCTACAGTGACCTTTCATTTTAACCTCTTCTGTAGCCTCATGCACTGGGATTCCTTTTCTCATTTTTAAGGATAACCTTTTTATTTGTGACTTTAATCAAGCCTCCCTATTTTCTATTGACTTTTTTTTTTTTTTTAATTCTCTCTATTGGGTGGGAGTGAAGAAAATAAAACTCCTCACTTGAATCAGCTCTCCCTACTCTATGTACTTAATTACTGTGTAAGGTAAGATTGTTCCTCTAGCTTCTTTTCTTTACCTACATTTCCTCTTGAGCTTTGTAACTTTCAGGACACTGCTCAAATGAAAAGTTTTCTTCTGTGCACAATGTATGAATTTTCTCTTCATTAATTTTCAAATGATCTTTTGTATATCTTGGAAATGAAGAATGGAATAGTTTTAAACATGAACTCTGGAGCCAGACTTTCTAGGCTTACACTGGATTATACTTCTTTTTAAGGAATTCTGTTTTATTGGGAACTAGCTCTTAATAAGAAATTAAACACTCTTTTCTTGTTCTTTATTCTGTTAGATATTTGCCATATTGGCACTTCTTGATCTTCCTTATATTTCATTGATTTGTTTCAGAAATGATAGTGTAACTTAGTGCTAAGTTAAGAAATAGAGGATTTGAGTCAGTTGACCTGGGTTTGACTGTTGTCACCTTGTTCTATAAAATAGATAGAAAAGGACTATTGTCAGGGTTGGATGCGATACATTTGAAGCAAAACATAGCCTTTAGTACCTAAAAAGGACTTTGTTAAGTATTATAATTTCTCCATTTCCTATCTTTAGACTTTAGCCTTGGCACACATTTTAGTCATCTATCCCTTTCTTCTCTGTTCACTTTCAAATTAGCAAATTCTTTTGGCTGTATACACAGAGACATCTCTAAATGTTCTTACTGCTTCTACCCTTCCCCGTCTACCTCAGTTTTTATTTCATACAGTAACCAGAGAGGTTTTTGATGGTTATCAGAAGAATAGAGTCATACCATGTTAATTCTGCATTTCAGATTCTCAAATGGTGTTTCCATCTTTTTCAAGATAAAAACAAAAGTAGAGCATCTGGTTAGCTTCCACCATCCTGCTATCTTTCTCTCACTTGGTTCCAGCCACGTTGGTATTCATTTTCTTCTAAACATATCAAACAGATTTTAGGACATTTGTACTTACTCTCCCCTCTACTTGGAATGTCATAACATTTTAAGGTGTCTTCTCAAATATCATCCTTTCCTAAAATCTTAATAAGTTAGGAAGCTCCTTGCTCTGATTTTTTTTTTTTTTTTTTAAATCAAAGCTGTTACCATCTAACTCCCAATGTTTTGCTTTTTTTTTTTGTCTCTCTTAAGAAAAGTCCAGGTTTCAACATCACTGTCGGACTTACTGCTCTATTTCCTAAAAATAGATAATGACAGGAGTATAGCTTGTACTTAATATATATCGAACAAATTATTTTCTAGCAAGGTATAAACTATCATACCAAAAATTGGAAACAGAGCAACTATGGATAATGCTAAAATTATGGAGGAAATCAAGAATTTTCGCTTTTTTTAAAAAAGGCATTGGGTGTAACTGAATTCTAGTTTGAACCAAAAGAATACATAATTCTAATGATACTTAACCTATTCTTGACAAAGAATGAAAAACTTCCCAACTGATTCACCAGTAAAACAGAATACAATACTCCTAAGCAAATCCATACCAATACAGTGGCCCTTTAGAGTGGTGGAGTAAGGATTTCTTTTTTTAATAAATGGCATCAACTAAATATGTTGTCTGACGTTAGCCTGTCTTCTTAGAATCAAACAAAATTGCTCCTCATGTATAAATTTGTATGGATATTTGTTTTTATATTTATACTCATAAATTTTATCTACAGCTTATCCTTTTAGTAGCATTTTTATTCTGATTTTGGTATACAGCCATAGTTTCTGTTAGTGTAATAAAACTGAATTATACAATTTTTGATGTCTCATCATTTTACCATGTAAGTAGTTATCAAGGAAAAGCTTAATCTCCATCACCCATCCGCTATTCTCCAACACTCAAAATATAAAAGTAACAGAAATTATCATTAGTTGGGTGTAGTAGTACACATCTGTGATCCCAGCTACTTGGGAGACTGAAATAGGAGGATTATGAGTTCAAGGCCAGACTGAGCAACTTAGCCAGAACTTATCTCAGAAAGTTAAAAGGGCTGGGAATACAGCTCAGTTTTAGAGTGTTTGCCTAGCATGTGTCAAGCACTGGGATCAATCCCCTCTACCACCAAAAAAAAAAAAAAAATTGTTGCTTTGTCTCAAAGATTTGGATTAGACAGCTTATACAACCTGTATTATATAAAGATCCATTTTTTTTTGCATTTTACTTATAATTATTATAGGTAAGTTTTACTCTGAAATGTATTACTCTTGCCATCTCTTAGTATTTTCTGTTTAAGTCTACTCAGAATGGGGCACTGTAGTATAAAAAACAATTATTTTTCAGCTGAGTAAATTACAAAGCTTTTGCTTCCTTAAAGATTGATTTTTAAATAATGAAAATCTTTGTATATTAGTTGTGATTTAACTGCATATTTTGCCACAAACATTGCTATATTTACTCACGTAAATATCACTGAAATAGATCTTATTGAATTCATGTTTTTAATAAATTTATATCTTTCCCATTTTTAAGTGTAAAGAAAGAATGAGGCCTGTCAAAGCAGCTTTGAAACAACTTGATAGGCCTGAGAAAGGCCTTTCTGAAAGAGAACAACTGGAGCATACTAGACAGTGTTTAATAAAAATTGGAGATCATATTACAGAATGTCTGAAAGAGTATACAAATCCTGAACAAATAAAGCAGTGGAGAAAGTAAGTGACATAACTTTTCAGGAACTGGGCAATTTATAAATTTGTAACTATTTTGTGTTTTTATTTTTCTACCTCTGAAGATTAAGTGACAAAATAGCATCTAAAGAAGTAATGTGAGAATGAATGTTTTAATTTTCTCCCTTTAATTTCAAAGCATTTTATTCATGAATGGTTATTTATCTATCATGATAAGCTACAGGTGGCATCTCTGCTTTTAAATAGGAAAAAGAGGTATTCATTTTAAAATAAAAGTCATTGCATTTTATTTTAAAATTTCTTTGCAATTCAGCAAATTATTCTCAATAACATCTTTAGAAATCAGTGTGCCTAAATAATTTATTTTACATAAATTTAGCAGTTTATCTTCTGCATGTGTATATAAAGTCATAAAAATTAGAATATTCCAACCAATGTAAAATGTAAACTTCTATTTTTTCCCTTAAAAAAAAAGATGGAACACAGTTTATCTTAATGTTGTAAGTCTGAGCTGTGATACTATTTTTATTTTACAAATCACATCTAAATGATTATCAGATCCAGATCAGAGTTAAAATTAAACCCAACTTCTAGACTTAATTAGGAAAGAAGACTGGCACATAACTGTCAGTGATGTCAGTTTGTTAACTTATTTGCTATATGCATTGTAGCTATATATCAAAAACAAAAAGTGTAAATAACTTACTGGAGGAGCTTTAAGGATTAAAATTTTATATATGTATATGTGTATGTCCATTCCTTGTTTCATTTCCTTTCTCGTAAGTTCAACTAGAACCCATTTATAAAAAGAAGCTAGGAAGTTGATTATAATAACCATTAGGCTTTTGTACACAAGTACAAACTGAAATATAATGTTTAGAAAAACCAAATCCATGCATGGACAATAATAATAGTAGCCTAAATTTTTGCATGTATGAGATCTTGGAATGATTGCTAAAGTTGGCATCAGAAAATGTGCTTAGTGTCCCCATTTTTTACTTTGTAACCTTAAACAGTTATCAGTATCTTTGAGCTCCACTGCTATCTCCAGATAACATCTGTTATCTCCAGAATGACATCTGTATTCAAGCCCTTTTTAAACTGTGAGGCACTGTATGTTTTTTCAATTATTTCATGGTAAATTTGATTGTATCATGATGAATGAGAGACTGTGATCCTAAAGTACACAGTGTCTGACATAATCTTTTATTTGTAAGTGGAATATAGACACATAGCAGTTTGCCTTTATCTGCAGGGTATATGTTTCAGGACCCCTAATGAGTGCCAGACACCAGGGATTGTACTGAACCATATGTATTCTAGGTTTTTGCCTGTATATAGATAACTACATTAATGTTTAATTTATAAATTAGGCACAGCAAGATATTAATGCCTTTTCCATCTTAGCTCAGTACTTGTACTGTATCTATAACCAACAAAAGGAGCATGTTTTTTTTGTTTTTTGTTTTTAATCCCCTGCACAGTTTCACAGATACAAGATTGGTTCTTACTCTTGATCTTGGCAACCTTAGTGTATGATTTTTTTTTTTTTTCTTTATCTGTTGAGAACTTTAACCTTTCACATAAAAGAAACACTTGATGGCTTCTTTTTCTAAATTGGCAGCATTCACTTTGGGGGCCATAAAAAGGTTACTGGAACATAAGCACTACGTTAGCTCTGCAGTAGATCTGAAAACCAAATTAGTTACTAAATGACTAACAGGCGAGTAGCACGGCATGGGTATGCTAGACAAAGGGATAATTCACATCCCACGTGAGATGGAGTAGGACTGGGACCAAGTAGGATGGCATGAAATTTCATCCTGCTACTCAGATTGGCTCAAAATTTAAAACATTATTTATTTTTTAAGATTTTTCCATTTAATATATTCAGACCATGGTTGGTTGTGGGTGACAAACCTGTGAAGGGGGTGGAGGGGGGCTGTTGTGCCATAAACAGAATTATTCCATTCTTCTCAAACCTTATTAATTCATAATGTTCTCCAAAGCCTGGAACCCTAGAAGAAGAGAAATGCAAGGAAGTTCAGTTATGTATATTAGACTTAAAGAATTTGACCATATTCCCCTTTATCTATTAACGTTCAAGATCTAAAGTTTAATTTGTTCTGTTAAATGGTTCCCAAACATAATCTTGACTATTGTTTGCTTACCTTTCATGAAACTGGAAAAATAAAAGACAATGCAGTCATTATTCCTGATGCCAAATTTAGCTAATTTAATAGTGATTAATACAAGTAGATGTTATTTCAGATTTAGTTAGTTATTAGGAAGTGAGGAGAGAGTCTTTGGAAGAAGAGAGACCGGTAGTCAGGAGCTCTCTCCCCGCCCCCCCCATCCCCAGTCATTTGTCATTTTACCTCTAAAGGCCATGCTCCAGTCTGTTTTCTTTTCCAGATTGGGCAAATAATATTTTTTATTTTTCTCCCATTTCATTCTTAACTACATTGTTTCCATGTTCCTTGCTGTTAATTTCTCCTGCCACTTCCTGTCTCTGGTTATGTCCATTTCCCTTAAAGGGAAAAGGGGAACAGAAAGACCCCAACTGATAAATACTTCAGAGATTAAATTAGTTTTTTTTTTTTTTAATTATTTTTATTTTTGGCCTTGTCTGGTCATAACACCTCTAGTGCTTTTGGCCTAACAACAGTAATGTAGGTGATGTAATCAGAATCTAATTCCTGACTAGATTTTTCTAGAATAAAACATTTTTAAAAAGAAGTTAATTATGAATAAAAAAGTAGTTTATTAATTTTCTACCACCTGCTCTTGTGAATTAATTGTAGAATATAAGTATGTTAGAGATAGTCTATAAATTCATTTGTTTTCTTAGCCAAGATTGCTTTTAAAAAACTTTAAATTATTTATGATTATAATAAACTGAAGAAAATTTTAAAACTTTAGTGCAGCTATACTTACAGAGAATATTCGTGCTTTCTGATGGAACCTAATATTGCATTTTTTTTTTTGCTGTATCTGAAAATATAAAAAATATGTATTTAAGGCATACAATTTGATTATCTAATATACATATTTTTTAGGAAATCATCTCTAAAATTTTTCATTAATTACTGATGCTGCCTTTGGATGGGAAGAGAGGTCAAGATATATACCATCCAGTACCTTAGAGTGTCTGATCCTGTTACTTTTGTGACCATAATATCACTAAAAATGATAATTTCTGGACTGTGGTTGTAACTCAGTGGTAGAGCACTTGCCTCACACATACGAGGCCCTGGGTTCGATCCTCAGCATACATAAAAATAAATAAAGGTGTCCATCTCCAACTAAAAATATTCAAAAATGATTCTTTAAAAAATAACAATTTCTGCCAGGTGCAGTGGCTCACACCTGTAATCCCAGCAGTGCAGGAGGATTGAGAGTTCAGAGCAGCTTCAGATAAAGCGAGATGCAAAGTAACTCAATGAGAACCTGTCTCTAAATAAAATACAAACTAGGGCTGGGGATGTCAGTGGTTGAGTGCTCCTGAGTTCAATCCCCACTACTCCCCCACATCTCCCCCACAAAAACAACTTTTTTGTGCGTGTGTGTGATGCTAAGGATCAAAACCAAGGCCTTGTGCATGCAAGGCAAGCACTCTACCAACTGAGCTGTATCCCCAGCCCCCAAAATAACAATTTCTAATTCATTAAGACCATTTTGTTGAGAAGCTTAATTCATATCATCTGCTGATGTTTCTACACAGGCTATTAACGTAACCCGATCTCATACAAAGTCTGTATAATAACACAAATCTCAAGAGTTCGTCCTTGGTTTGTTTACATATTTTGGGTCCATTTCAAATCAGGATTATTACTACTCTTCATTCCAAAATGAAGGGGTTTGAAAGAGAAATTAGAGCTGTATCATTAGAGTCTTCCAAAAATTAATCTTTTTAGACTTTGTCTCATTAATGGCTAATTTTACATGTATATGTGTTTTTGTCAGGGACTGGTGTTCTATGAAAAAGCTAAATATTTTCCACCAGAGTAATTTTATCTTTTTTTCTTCTAGAAACCTATGGATTTTCGTATCTAAATTTACTGAGTTTGATGCAAGAAAATTGCATAAATTATATAAGCATGCTATTAAAAAACGCCAAGAATCTCAGGTAAAATAGTGCATCATATTTTATTCTTTAATTTATGTCATTAAAGTCATGATTCATTCTTCAATACAGAATAATTCAACTAATAAATGTAGAAGAAATGAATGATACAGAAAAATCAACATTAGAAAATAACATCACTGGGTGTGGAGGTGCATGCCTGTAATTGCAGCTGCTCAGGAGGCTGAGGCAGAAGGAGCACAACTTCAAAGCTAGCATGAACAATTTAGGAAGATCCTGTGTCTGATATATAATTTTTTTTTTCAGTATTAGGGATCGAACCCAAGGACACGTTACCACTGAGCTGTGTCCCCAGACTTTTTTATTTTTTATTTTGAAAACAGGGTATTCCTAATTTGGTTAGGACCCTGAGTTGCCAAGTCTAGCCTCAAACTTGGAACCCTCCTGCCTCAGCCTCTGGAGTCAACTGGGATTTCAGGTGTATGCCATTGCGCCTTGCTAATCCTATCTCAAAAATAAAAAGGGCTGTGGGATATAGCTTAGTGGTAGAATACTCCTGGGTCCAATTCTTAGTACCACAAAAAAATAAATAAATATATATATATATATATAGTAGGTAAGATCCACAGAAGGAAGTTGAAATTAATGGAATCACAGAAAATGACGGTACGCTTCAAAAATGTCAAAGTTGTGCCAATAAGACTAAGGAATTATCACAAAATACACAATAACTAAATGTAACATGGAGTTCTAGATTGGATCCTGGAGCAGAAAAGAGACATTAGAGAAAATGTCAAATCAGAATAAAGTATATTTCAGTTAATAGTATTGAGTCAATCATTGTTAATTACTTGGTTTTGATCATTATTCTATATAAGATGTTAACTTTAGGAGAAGCTACGTGAAGGACATAAGGGAATTTTCATTACTGTTTTTACAACTGTTGTGTTAAATATAAAATCTCAAAGTTGGTTTTAAAAAACAATCATGGGATAGATTAGAGAAAAAAGAAGATTTGTTAATGTTACATATTCATTTTTATGTGTTATGTGAAACTTTATTATCAGAATTTCCTTTTTAAAGAATTCCACCTATTCCTCTGTTTTATAGGGGTATTTGAAGGCATTTAAAAGATTCTTTTTTTATTTTAGCAAAACAATGACCAGAACAGTAACTCCACTTCTCATATAATTAGAAATCCAGGTAAGTAAGCTTTACTAACTGTTCTGGAAGATTAAAAAAAATTGTCTTTTTGGGGGCTTTAATCAAATTATGAAAAGGATTGAGTCGTTCCAATTTAAAAGTACCTTTATATTGAAAATACTATAATTTTCATATATTTCTACATTATTAGATAAAAATCTATTCTCTTAAACAGTAATGTTTTAGCTTATTATCTTTTCCATAAACCAGCCAACTTGTCAGTTTGTACAAGTTGTAAAATAATTTTTTAAGGTGAATATTTATTCTTTGTAATGTAACTTTGAATAATGTATTCTTTCTGTATAAGGGCACAAATATCTGAGAAATGGTGTGGGCCCTGTATTTATCAATTGTGAGGGTTTTTTTTTTTTTTTTTACATTTCAGAATCCAGTGACCTTTAGTTATGCTGCTTTTATAGACCATTTTAAAATGGTTTAACTGCCTATATTTGGGAAATGATTTTGTTTTGGCAGGAGTCATTATCTAGAAGTTGCTTTTACCACATTTTTTAAAGTCATTAACAAAAGTTGGACTTTTATCCAACAGATGTGGAAAGATTAAAAGAAAATACAAATCATGATGATAGCAGCAGGGATAGTTATTCTTCTGATAGACATTTATCTCAGTATCACGATCATCATAAAGACCGTCATCAGGGAGATTCTTACAAAAAGAGAGATTCCAGGAAAAGACCATATTCATCATTTAGTAATGGTAAAGATCATCGTGAGTGGGATCACTACAAGCAAGACAGCAGGTAAATTTGACAATTTACTTTTGAAATTTTGCTTATTCATATCCTTCTCCTTTTAATTAAACCATACTTGCTGTATTTGACCTATCAACCAGTTAATTTTCACACAGTCAGTCTAGGTCTTGTTCTGTAAATGAGAAAAATTGACATACAGCACTTTTTTGTTGTTAATAAGAACTGATTTTCTGTATAAAGTGGGTTTTGGATTATAAAACTGAATCAAAATATGCAATGAGAGATGAAAGTTATTGTAAGGAGTTCTGTTCATGTGGCATTCATTATTGTTTAAAAGTACCTTTAAATTAAGAGGATATTTTATTTCTAATATATATCTACAATATTGGCTTTGGAGACTGTTGCCTCAAATACGTTTCAAAATATAGTAGGGTAAAATAGAACATGATGAAATAACGGTTCAAATTTGGTGAAGGGAATTCTGCATTTCATATTTTTAAAAAATCATGAGAAGAAAAAAATAATTCATATGAATACAATGTAACGTTAAACTTAATCTCAGCACTCTGGTACAGTCCTGAAAGCAGGAAGTTTAAAATATGTATTATTTTTATTATTTGAAACCTTTGAAGAATAAGCAGCCTGAATATATAATAATAGCACAATAGCATTTACTCCTTTATTGGTAAAGCAGTGTTTTTAATCATTACTAAACGTAAACTGGGCTGGAGTTCTGGCTCAGTGGTAGAGCGCTCACCTAGCATGTGTGAGGCCCTGGGTTGGATCCTCAGCACCACATAAAAATAAATAAGTAAAATAAAGGTATTGTGTCCATCTACAATTGAAAAATAAATATTAAAAAAAAAAAGTAAACTCAAAAACTTTAAGAATGAAAGTAAAGATCAGCAAGAAATTAGAAGGGCTGTGGATATAGCTTAGTGATAGAGTACTTGCTTAGCAGGCACGAAGAAGCCCTGAGTTTGATCCCCAGCACTAAAAAGAGAAAAAAAAATTAGAAGACATTGTATTTAGTTATGCTCACAGCAGCAATTTCTTCTCTGAGAACCTCTGTCATACTAAACATAACCATTATAGAATGACTTAATATTAGAAAGGGGAATATAATAAAAAGAAAAAGGCATATTTGTAGTAATATATACTTATATATAATTTCACAGGCAATTTTGTATTGTTTTTAATAAGAACTTTTATTCAACCAAAAAACATACATTCAGTGTATTTTTTTAAACAAACATAGAAATTATTTCTCGTTAAATTACCACATTTATTTTTTAGCAAATTGCCACACGAATGGAGTAAAATCACATAATGATTTATGTGTTAAAACATTATAGACCAAGTTACCTTGAGGAAGGTTTTAATAGACTTCACCAACTAATGAAAATTATCCTTTATACATTATTTTAGACTGCATTCTAACATTTATTTTTTTTTATCTTCAACATTCAAAAAAGGGTTGAATTTTAAGGTTTTTTTTTTTTTATATACTTGTTATCACTTTCCAACTTTCAGACAAGATGGATTATTACAAGTGATTCATAGTATAAAAAGTAGCAGTTTTCTTAAGATGGGCATGGGAAATTATCTACTGACTGAGGTACTCAGTATGGATCACTTTAGTTTTATGCATTAAATAATTTTCTCAAAGAGATATTTCCAGTAACTTTAAAGCTCATTCTTATAGTTTAATGAAATACTGAGATTGTATACAATTAAAAGCATGTTTTAAAATATTATTTTTGTTTTTTAATAAAATTATTTTTGAAACATTTAAATTTAAATTATTAGTTTGACTAAAAAACCTAATTTCTTTTTTATTAGATATTACAGTGACAGAGAAAAACACAGAAAACTGGATGATCACAGGAGTAGAGATCACAGGTCAAATTTGGAAGGAAGTTTAAAAGATCGATCTCATTCTGATCATCGATCTCATTCAGATCATCGGTTACATTCAGATCACCGGTCAAGTTCTGAATATATACACCATAAATCTTCCAGGGATTATAGGTATCACTCAGATTGGCAAATGGACCACAGAGCTTCCAGTAGTGGCCCTAGATCACCACTAGATCAGAGGTCTCCTTATGGCTCCAGATCTCCATTTGAACATTCAGTTGAACACAAAAGTACACCTGAGCATACCTGGAGCAGTCGGAAAACATAACAAAAACTGATGTTTTGTCTTTCTGGACTTTTCTTTTAGCCATATATCATAAACCAACACAGTAATTGCCTTACATGACTTGAAAGATATAAACAGATCTTCTATCAGTAGCAGTATTGTTACTTCTTTCCAGGATGCAAGGTCTATTATCCCAACAGAAGAGAAAATATTTTTATATTTAAGGATTATGCTGCACTGTGCTACAGATATTGTAGTACTTTTTTTTTTATTTTTTAAAGAAATGGAAAATGTTTACTATAACAGGGACCTCAACACTGCCCTCGAATATAGGCTGGATAAAACTGTTTTTAAGTCAGTGATTTTAGACTGACCTTCATTTAAATTATGTTTGTATATGAACTTTACTCTGACCTGTGATCATGTTTCAGGAAGGAATGAAAGAGAGTTCTTTTCTTAATAAAGAAAAAACACTCAAGGACTTTGTTCACTTTCCAAAGCTACTTGTTTACATTGTACACTGCGACCACCTTGCCGCTTTTCATCACAAGCTTGAATATTTAAATTCTGTACTTATATCTGTAATATAGCCAGAAATTTCCTGTTTGTGATCTATTATTATGCCTTTTTACAAGAAAAAAATGGCTGTAAATTATTGTAAATGTATTAAATGAGCTTTCCTTACTTTCCTTCCCCTTCTCAGGCTTTTTTTTTTTTTTTTTTTTTTTTTTTTTTTTTACCACCAACTCAGTCCTTTTTATTAAAAAAAAAAACAAACAAACAAAAAAAAAAAACCAGTGTTAATAACACTTTTTAATGATTTGTCTTGATGGAATCATTGTTTAGAATGTAAAAAAATGGGGAAAGGCGCCACTTATTTCCATTAGTTCTCTTTTTTATATTGAATATTTTATTAGATACATGTGATGCCCCCCACCTTTTTTTCTTTTTTAGCCAATATTGTGTTTGTAGTTTTAAAAAAAATGGTGAAATAATATGGAAAATCTAAACTGCATGCTCTGGAAACATTTTTTTCAGATGCATTTGGTTTAAAAGAGTAGGTGTATGAACACTCTAAGAATCCAAAACAGCCAAAAGTTATTGTAAATCCATTTGTTTTCCCTTTTCATGTGGGCAATAATGTCAAATGTGCTATGCAGCCAGGTTAACATTTTAGACAAACTTGATTGACTTTTAATATAAACTGTTACAATGCACACTGATTGTATATAAAAACCTTATATATGACAAATTAAATTTAAGAAAAAGGATATGTGGGCTCCTGTACTTTTCTCCTGCATTCTTATTCCCTAAAGCACTTAATCTTTTTTTCTCCCCCTTAAGTAATATTTAGCTACCAGAGAAAGGATATTTTGGTAAGCAGTTGAAAATTGGTAATGTGTAGTACTACAAATAATCAATTTTGAAGACTATGTACATCTTTCTATGAAATAAAACTTAGATCACAGAAATTTTTGTTGGACCATTTGGCTTTCTGCAGATAATATTTTAGGATGCCTTATTTATTCATAGATTTTTTATTTCTTGTATTCAGTGGGAAATTTTGAATCATGGCATACATTCATTCTTGGATGTTTGCTGTGATGTAACAAATTTGAACCTTACTTTTGACAAATGTAAGTATATGGACATATTTCTGTAATATTCCTATACATGTCCAAATTGAATTGTTGTAGAAGCTGCAATCTACTAAAGTTTGTATATATATATTTTTTAATATTTTCCTTTTATCCAGTCAGTTTTAAAATTTATATGATGTGAATGAAATAACACCCTCCCTTTAAACACAGATTATTCTTTTAGATATAGTTGCCCTGAAGAATGATGATGTGTTTGTTCCTGATATCTGAAACATCATATGAAGGAATAACTCCATAGTTTCTAATTAAATATGAAAATGAAGAAAGAACTCAGTGCTGACATGTTTTTTTAAGTTTTCCACTTTTCTCCACATTTAATATAAATAATTTTATTGCACAAGAGCATTTGATTAAAAAAATATGCTGCTCAATATATTAACACAGCTAAGGGGCTGGGGTTGACCTTTCTTAATACATTATTTTTTAGTAAGCTGTGACATTTGCATTATATCCTTTTGTGCAAATTTCATAGAACAGTATTGTATTTTTGGAAATAGAATGAGCTCTAGTTTTCTAATATTTCAGTCAACTAGCTGAGTTGAATGAAGAATCTAATACTAACATTTATTGATAGTAAACATGTAATTATTTGTAAAATGTAATTATTTAGCAAAGGAACAAGCCATAAATATGTTAAGAAACAATAGAGAAGAACATGAGTACCTAAACAGGGATCATTTTCTATAAAACTGCTTACTTTTTTGTCTCTTTCATGCTCATTGTGCTTTACTATTTTTATCCATTTGTTTAAGCCTGAGAGATTTTGCATAACATTGTATCAGTCAACTCTCCACTTTAATAATATGCAATAAATGATTCTTATTAAAAGCAATGACCTCTCTGCTTATAAAGAAAATATTCCTTATTTAGGGTATATAGTTTTAAGACTATGAAAGCAGGAGTTTGAATGATTTCCTTCATTAGTTTCAGGGTGTGAGTGGCTTAATAAACAACTGTCAGAATTTTATATACTCTAGATTACATGTGATTTTTATTAAAAATCTGGTTTTGTAGTTTTTGTAATAAAAGATTGGGTAGATTGTGTGCTAACAGATTTATACAGATTATCATTTTCATGTGATTTGTCAAGAACATTACACGAGTTATTTGACATGTCTTTTTTCTCTGCATGTTTGTTTCTGACTAGAAAATTAACTTTGGATCATAATTAATTGCTGTAGCTTTATAAATACAAAGACTGAAAAGGGATGGAGGTTTAGAAAAGCAACTAATTTTTAAATATGGGATTTTTGTTTTAGGCTTACCCAGTTAATATCTGAAATATGACCATATATTGGTAAATGGGAGATAGTTTTAAATTTTTTAGTTTATTAGCAAATAATATAATTTTTTCTGAATAGATCTGTACAAACATCTTTATACAGAAATCTTTTTAAGCAGATTAAGTTCAAAACTCAAAAATATAAAATATTTACATATTTTTGTAGCACTGTATACAAGATTTTCAAAGAAGGAAAGTTGTTAAAAGGGAGACAACTGGAGAACAGTGCAGCAGTAAAAATATCTGGAGACATAACGTCAAAACTTCTGTATTAAAAATTCATAGGCCATTCAGTTGTAGATACTTGAAAGAAAATAATTCAATCAAAATTACATTTTTTTTTTCCTGGAAATGGCTAATAAGTGATCTTATAGTACAATTTATGTGTAGCTTTTCATTTTTAAATTTTTTAAAAATTTAGGACCTAATGGGTTGATTTCCTTATAGAATATCTTGGGAGTCCTTGTAAAGGAAGAGTGAAGGATAGGAAATCTTAGCTATGTATAAAGATGAAAGATGTGATTACTTAGGAAAGAGGACTTAAAAAAATGTTTAAGATTCTTTTTCTAAGTGTCTATAGAAATTCTCCAGTGGACCTTCATGTGCTAATTTTTCTACCCTAACAGAATTCTAGCTACTTAGTCCTTTAGTTAAAAACAAAACAAAATAAAAACAAAAACACAAGTTGTAATATGAAGAAATATTAGTGGTTTAAACTCACAAATGAATGAGATATTCTTAATTTCATGGTCCACTCTACATTTGAGTCTTGATTTAAATATTAAACTGAAGGAATAAACAGTCTGAAACAATAATTCTACTAAAAGGGCTAAGATACTGATTGCATTGGTGATAAGCATAGTTTGGAAGAAAATGTCGCTTTTATTGTAATTGCAGTGTTATATACTTTTAGGCTTTCTTCTATAGAATGAACTGTGGAACTGAGCCGCCCACTGTTTACATTTTTTCATCTGTTTACTTCTCAAATCTTAAAGCTTTGTCTATGGTGTCCTGGAGTTTGATGGACTAGGTGGAGGTGGTTTTGTTTTTTGATTTTCTTAGCTTGGATGTTGTCTCAATTCTGTTTACTTTCTGGAGGCTCTATTGCTATCATATGACTTTTGATTTCTGTCCTTGTTTCAACAGCTTTTTTTTTCTTTTTTGTGCTGAGTATCTTTGCTTTTAAGCACACCCCTGATCTCATCTCCACTTAAGTAATAGCTGGTGGATATCTAATCTTAAAATATGTAAAACCAAACACCCCTTTTGCACCAATAACATTAAAATGCCTTCCCCATTTTTTATTACGTCTGACCTAACTAAGGTACTTTTCTCTTAGCTGTTTCCAGTCTTTTTGAATCACTACTGCCATTGCAGCTCTTAGAACATGGAAGAATCCTTCTGGGTCAGCATTGTTCCATTAAAGTGTTTGTCTGATTTTTACCAAGCTGTCACCTCCTTTAGTTCACAGCTCAATTGTCATCTCAAATTAGTATCCTGGGTCCATCATTTTTAAACCCCTTACCTTGCTTTTTTTCCCCTAGCATTTCACCACTCTTACGTATTCTACTAGACCTTATGTATTTTGATCATTTGCCATTGACTACCTCCCCAGTAGAATGTAAGTTCCATTAGAGCAGGGGCTTTATTTTGTTAACTCACTGCTTTATCCCCAATACCTAAAATTGGATTTTTTTTTCATTATTGTGGTGTTTTTCTCAGAAATGCCTATGTCCTATAAATGCCAATGTTGCCTGTCTTTTATCTTGCTATTGTTAACTTGATCCATTGGTATTATTAGTAAGTTGCATGCCTTATCAGTATCTTCTGAATACTTAAGTCTTTTTACTGCCTTCCAGTTTTTAAATTTTGCTGATAAAAATCACCTGGGGCGCTTGAAACATATAGAAATGCTTAAGTCATTTCTAGAAATTAAAATTGGCAGCAGGCAGGGAGAGACTCCAATTAATTTTTTTTTTTTTTTCATTTTGCAAAACAGGGAATTGAACCCACAAATTTCTTCCATTGAGTTACATCCCCAGCTCTTTCCCTTTTTTATTTTGAGACAGGAACTCACCAAGTTGCCCAGGCTGACATTGAACTTGGGATCAACCTGCCTTAATTCTGGAGTAGCCTGGGTTACAGGCATAAGCCACTGAGTCTTACCAATAGTGTATTTATTTTGCTGACTTAAATAATCAATACAGAAATTAACTTCATTGTTACAAAGAATATACTTACATATAAACGAAGGATTGGTTTCAATAACTTATGGCTATTTAGGAAATAATGGTGATGTTATAGACATAATAGGAAAATATAAAACAATTTGATTTGTCTATCCCTTTACCCTTTGAAAAGAAATTTATTTTTAAATGGCTTGATACATTATCTTTTCCTACTCACACCTAAAGAACCCATCTTGTAAAGACCCTAATACAATAGAAACATGTTGCATTTCCAATGTTTTTAAAAGTAAAATTTAAAAATTACCATCTAGCCAGGCATAGTGGTGCCCACCTGTAATACTTTGAAGGCTAAAGCATGAAGATCACAAGTTAAAAGACTAGCCTCAGCAATATGGCATGACCCTCAGTAACTTAGGGAGACCCTGTCTCAAAAATAAATATTACTGGGGATGTAGCTCAGTCAGTGATAGAGTGCCCCTGGGTTCAATCTCAAGTAGCAAAAATAACCAAAATAAATCCTCTTGCTTGCTGTATTTTTCACATTAAAAAAAATCAGA